CTCCCCATTTGCTATTTTTGGCGCTTCCCAGGTCCCGGAGGACCCCCAGCTCCCATCAGCTCTGCTCGCGTCGCTCCTTGGCCTGGGATGGCTGCCATGCATAATGTCCACTTTCTTCGCTCGTATTGGATCCATTCGCCGCGCCCGCCGTCAGCGTTGGCTTCGTGGTTCCATCCTGCGAGCACCAGCATCCAACTCGTACGAGCAATGTCAATGGGTCATCAATAGATATGCGAGTGTGCGAGCAGACGGCTGCGAGGCAAGGCCTGGCGGAATAGAGCCGAAACGGGATTATTGCTTCCACCTCGCCGTGTGCCGCCACATTGGACCACCCACTTTACGACGGCGCCTCGTCTGGCCTCAAAGCGGCAGCCCAGTGATCACTCACACGTCGCTCTCCTCGTGCAGCGTCGTGCCGATGAGCCGATCACTCCAGCCTTCCACAACGCCGATGTGATCAATATCGCACTCGGCGCGCGCACGGCTGATAGTTCCCTACACACTGACTAACTGTTCCGGTGACCCGCTGGCTTCCACGCATTTTTCGACCATTTCTTCGCTGACTGCAGCTGGCACTGGTGGCCTTGGGGAAGGACAAGACCTCGTATTTATTACATGCAGTGCAACCCGCATCTCAACGTTGGCGCTGCTTCCAAGCCGCGGTGCTGCCCTATCGATACGTATACTTATAACATATATCCACTCGCGATGCATGCCAAATGTGGTCCAAAAGTCTACGGCGACCATTCGGCGCTTTTCAGCCCCGCGGAGTGGTGAGAAAGGCCAGCACCTCACATCTTAGGTCCCCGGCCCCGGCATAGATTCTCGGCGAGGCGTGGCAGGCATCAGGCTAGACCTGGATACCGTCTTCCGACAACAACGGTTAGGCTCAGTCTCCGCAACTCGTCTATGTGTGGTGGGCCGATGTCTAGCTCGATCTCTAAAGAGCTGAAGAGCAGATGTGCTCGATCGGGCAGGGCAAGAAAAGCAAGAAAGGCTGAAGACGTGCAAGCCCCCTCAGGGGCTTCTAGACAGACCAGTCCAGTGAGTGAGCGGCATGGCATGGCATGGCCAGAGGGATCCGGGACGTTGGACAATCCCTGCACCATTCTTTTCTTTTTTTGGCGGTCCTGAAATTACCATGCTGCCTTTGGGGCAAATGAGGTTGCGACTAGATCGGAGCAAGCGCCGACCCAGGCCAGCAAGCGCCATTTGATTCTTGGGTCGGATTAAGGTTGCCCACAGATCCGGTACCGGCGTATTGTGCCCGAGGTCCTCTTCTCTCCCTCTCCATCTCTTGCCCCCTCTCTTGGCATCGCGTCCCCCAAGACTCCAGAACAGAAAACAGCCTTGTAAAGTCCAAGTGATTTTGAGCGTCTCGGTGAAAACGGGGTCAGGAAAACCCCCACCATGAGCCGGGCGGGCCCACAGGGACGTATCGTGCTATCTACGAGGTGTACAGTAAGCAAAAGCCCAAGTGGGCCAGAAGCAACCACAACTGCGATGTAACCAAGCAGCAGAATGAGAAAAGAGGGAAAAGAAGTCTCGGCCTTTTCTAGCATTGGGCCACCTCCTTGTTCTCAACCTGCTTTCACGCCTATTTGCAACGTGATGTGTTCTTCGCATTGGCCATATTCGCATGTTTTCTGCCATGGTTTGCACCTTCCTTGTGAATGCACGGAACCGCGGTCTGAAAATTTCGTAGAAAAAACAGGCAAATCAAGTGCCCAATCGGGAAAGTTGACTCATGCTGATGACGGCGATTCACATTTCTCTTCAACTTGACTTTCCGTACCAACGAAGCGAGGCACAAACGATACGTAGAAAACCAGGACCGCTCGATAACCCAGAGAGCCTCTGCAAAAGTCCACGCATCCTTGTTACTATACGATTCCCGTCCTCGCGTTGTTTTCGCTTCTTGAACTCAATTTGATACCCGTACTGTACTGTGCAATCGACCCCGCCGACTGAGCGAAACCCGAGACAAACAAGAAATAGGCCGACAAACAAAACGCGGTGGCGCCGCCCAGAAGTCGCAGGGAAAGCCAACTCAGTCCCCTACAAAGGATGGCCGAGCCCCAGCCAGCCCCGTCCAGGTCGGGTCAGCCGCAAGATAGCTATTCTCAGAGCCAAGGCAGGGGCAGGTCACGACGGGGCCCTCGTCGGGGCCGTGGAGGGGCTGCTGAACCAGCAGATGGGCACACGGCAAACGCAACTCCCGCAGCCGAGCCTGCTGCTGCGGCCGGCAGTGCATCCTCTCGCGGCGGCGGCTCTCGGGGAAACCAACGGGGCGATTCGCGCGGAGGCCGCCGAGGACAACCGCGCCGCGGACGTGGGGGGCGCGGAGGGCAGGCTCCCGTCTCGGTAGTATCTCAGCAACGGACTTTTGGTGGGCACTTGACAGCCCCTTCCGATCGCCCAGACAGTAGGGCCTCCCAGGCAGCCTCGGGTCTGAGCGGCGAGGCCCCCGAGTTCGTCCCGGGCGGTCCGGTTAGGCAGCGGGGCCAAGGCCCGGCCGGCCGGCCGAGCGAGCGCCGGTCTCTGCCCAAGGGCGTCAAGTCCTCCGCCCCAGACCTGCCAACCCGCATCCACGAGGATATCGACAACCGCGAGTACGAGTGCGTCATCTGCACCAACGAGGTCCTGCGCAACTCCAGGGTGTGGTCTTGCTCGCTGTGCTGGACTGTCGTCCACCTCAGCTGTGTCAAGAAGTGGCACTCGAACCAGCTTAGCGCCAGGGACCCGCAGCAGGAATCCACGACATGGCGCTGCCCTGCCTGTAATTCGTCCCTGTCAGAGGACCCAGGCTCCTATCACTGCTGGTGCGGCAAGGACCTGAACCCGTCTCCCGTCCCCGGCCTGCCGCCCCATTCGTGCGGAAACACATGTTCCAAGCCCAGGCCGAACTGCGTTCACCCGTGCGGGCTGCAGTGCCACAGCGGCCCATGTCCCCCCTGTGCACTGATGGGCCCGTCGCGCTCCTGTTTCTGCGGGAAGCACGAGATTTCGAAGCGATGCGTGGAGACGGACTATTCCAAGGGCTGGACCTGCCAAGAGGTCTGCGGTGACCTGCTACCGTGTGGCGAACACACCTGTGCCCGCCCATGTCACGATGGTCTCTGCGGTAGCTGTGAGCTTTTGGTCACGTCCACTTGCTACTGCGGCCAGACGAACAAAGATATCCCGTGCGAGCGACGTGAGGATATTTTGCCGTCGTTCGACCATGGCCAGGTGCAACGCGGCCAGGGCAGCGAGCCAGGTACCTGGTTCGAAGGATCCTTCAAGTGCTCATCGAAATGTGGCAGGCAGTTTGATTGTGGCTTGCATACATGCCAGCGCGGCTGCCACGAGCAGAACCAAGACGCCGCCCACTGCCCCTTTTCTCCCGACGTCGTCCTTACCTGCCCCTGCGGCCAGACCTCCCTCGACGACATAATATCACAACCGAGGCAATCGTGCCACGACCCGATCCCGCAATGCACCAAGGTCTGCGGCAAGACACTACTATGTGGTCATTCCTGCAAGCAAACCTGCCACCCGGAAGCATGCGAGCCCTGCACGCAGGTGGTGGAGGCACCTTGCAGATGTGGGAGGACGGCCACAGAACTTATTTGCAGCGAAGGCCAGGAGGAACAGCCTGTCTGCGAGCGCACGTGCCGGGCACAGCTGAACTGTGGGCGCCACGAGTGCAAGAACATCTGCTGCACCGGCGAGCGTAGGGCCTCGGAGAGGCTAGTGGCAAAAAGGAAGAGCAAGGCGTCTAGTTCGTCGTCGTCTAATGAAGAGGTCGAGGCGGAGCATGTCTGCATCCGCGTGTGTGGCCGGTAAGTCGAGTCGATAATCACTGCAACATCCACCCTGCTCCTCTCTACGCCTAGGCTCACACCTTAACCACGCGTCCCCTAGAAAACTCAAATGCGGGACGCATGCTTGCCAGCAGCTGTGCCACAAGGGGTCCTGCCCTTCCTGTCTAGAGGCTATCTTCGACGAGATCGCTTGCTATTGTGGCCGTACCGTACTCTACCCTCCGCAGCCGTGCGGAACACGGCCACCGGTCTGTCGGTTCGAATGCTCCAGGGCAAAGGCATGTGGACACCCTCCAGTCAAGCACAGCTGCCATACCGACGATGTGCCCTGCCCTCCATGTCCCTTTCTTGTCGAGAAGCCGTGCATCTGCGGGAAGCAAACCCTGAAGAACCAGCCTTGCTGGTTTGAGGAGACCCGGTGCGGGCTTCCCTGCGGATCGACGCTCAAGTGCGGCTCTCACAAGTGCCAGCGGCTGTGCCACAGGCCTGGCCAGTGTGAGGACGCCGAGGTGGCCGGTTCGCACTGCTCCCAGCCCTGCGGCAAGACGCGAACATCGTGTGAACACACATGCGCCAACCAGTGCCATGCTCCGTTCCCCTGCAAAGAGGACAAGCCCTGCCAGTGCAAGCTGTTCATCACCTGCGACTGCCAGAATCGCAAGCAGGAAGTGAGATGCCTCGCCACCGCCAACGACGAGAGGCCCGGCCGTGAGGCGCTCAAGTGCGATGAGGAGTGCCTGAAGCTGCAACGCAACCGACGACTGGCGGATGCGCTCAAGATCGACCCGGAATCGCACACCGACGACCACATCCCGTACTCTGACGCTACTGTTAAGATGTTCCGGGAAAACGTGGGCTGGACGCAAACCCAAGAGCGCGAGTTCCGCGTGTTCGCCGCGGACCCTTCGGAGAAACGCATCCGGTTCAAGCCAATGCAGCCGCACCAACGAGCCTTCCTGCACTCGCTAGCCGAGGACTTTGGCCTGGACAGCGAGAGCCAGGACCCGGAGCCGCACCGGCATGTCGTCGTCTTCAAGACCCCCCGCTTCGTCTCAGCGCCTCGAAAGACGTTGGCCCAGTGCGTTAACATCATCAAGACGGCCGAGGCCGCCTCGGCAGCTGCCGCCGCGCCGCAGACTACGCGAGCCGCCTCGATAGAGCCGTTCAACGCCTTTGTTCTGTCCAAGCCCAAGTTCGGCCTCACCATCGACGAGGTCGACAAGGGTTTGGCCGCCGACCTCGCCAGCACGGTGAGCTCGTCCCTGACCTTCACCACCACCTTTCTCCCGGCGAGCGACGAGGTGCTGGTGACGGCGCACCGGTCGCCCGTCACGGCGGCAAGCATCGCGCGCGCCGGCGGCGCCATCTCGACGCCCGTCGCCCTCGAGAACGCCCTGGTCGCCCTCCGACCCGCGATAGCCAAGACGGTCGGCCGCCTGGGCCTCGCCGCGAGGGTTGGCCTGTGCCACGTGGACGGCTCGGGCGTCGTGGGCCGGCGCGAGGGCGGCTCGTCGTCCTCGGGCCCCGACGCGGACGGCTGGAGCGCCGTCGTGGGGCGCGCTGCGGGCCGCCAGCCTGTCCGCCCGGCCCCGGAGCCGGCCAAGAAGCCGGGGGGCGTGTTCCTGGCCCTGGCCAGGCGGAAGCCCGCCGAGCCGCCCAAGCCCAAGCCCGAGCCCGAGCCGCTGGAGGACGACTGGGAGACTGCTGCGGAGAAGCTGGAGGACAGGAATAGTGGTTAATATTACCATAGGGCAAGCAGCCTCTTGGGAGACATGCATGGATCTTCATCCTGCCGCGGTACCCTGGTGATGGCAGACAGCTAGGTCACTAGGGAGATAGGCGAGGAGCAAAGCCTGTGTTTTTTTTTGGTGGCCTGTGGATGTGTGTTGGTTGCGAAAGTGGCAGCTACTCGATGGCGCACGCGGAGATGCGCATCAATACCAGATATCTACTCGGGCTTCACTCGAACAACGATTCCTTGATGCCAAATCGTCGCATCTATATACTTATCGCTTGCGGAGAACTTGCAAACCTCTCGATGTGGAATCTACCTTGCATGGACGGCTGACTGAACGTTGCCCCTGAACCACTGTCTGGAGGGCCAGGCATGAACTGCAACGGGAGGCTATTTCTTGAGTGAGCTTTGTCACGAGCTCTATAACGGCGGACAAGATTTGCGATGTGTAATGTATCATGACTATGGCCTCGTGCAACTGCGTCTTTCGTCTTTTTTTTCCTTTTCTTTTTCTACAGCCTGCCCGGGGATAAAACCACGGATCTCGCAAAACAATATCTGGAAGCGGCTCATGCACTCGAACTGCAGGAACCTCAAATTGGTCCCAAGAATATGGACCTAGATAGCATGTGGGCCAATATTTGTATATACCCAGACAAAGCCCTATTCAGCCGCATAAGCCCTCCGGGTTTCGGGTAAAGGGCTATAGATAAGGTGAAGGAGGCGGCGCCAATATCGATACCAGAACAATAGTCTGTGTTTGGCTACGGATGAAGAGCACCCTGCCTGCCTCCTCCAAACCGCGATTACTCTTTGCGTTTCCTTTTTTTTTCCAGCCGGAGGGAGGAGCATGAGGGGGCAAGGTCAAGGTCGCGTCATCGGAGGTCAACCTATACTTTGATAAGTCTGTCCCGCTATATATCCAAGCTAGCTCGTCCGGCGTGACCTCCCTGAGACAACGGGTCGCCAACCGCACGCCGGGGGTCCGGGGAGGAATGGTGAGACATTGAGAGACACGCACATGACCGCTTTTTTTGGTGGCTCCACGCAGCGCCCATCATTTGCCGTCGTGAATCCTTTGTCTGGGACAGATCTCGAGGGAGGAAGAGATGATTCGAAATGAGGTTTCATTCTCGGCCTTGGAGGGGGACTCCAACGTACAATGCCGTGATAGTGATAGCTAAGGCATACAACAGAAGGAGACAAAGAACACCTGTGAAGAAAAGGGGACGCCAGTTGATAGTCCAGCCTCGTGGCAGAAAGGGGTTAGGCATCCAAGCGCGCCGCAGAGGCGACCCGCGCGGGTCTTGATAAGTTATACAAACGAATTAGGAGATTCAAAAAAAATCGGGGGTATCTTTTCGTCAATGATGCAAAAAATGAGAAAAGAAAAGGGGGACCAGAGTCGTCGCCTATCCTTCGCTCCATCAAGATCCGCTCCCATGCTTCGACGCGCACCGGAATTAGGTTGGATCCAGAAGAGACCGTTGTCGCGAGGGCTAGACATGCTTTCATGGGACCCCAGCGGGTTGACGGGGTGTTAGGAAACGCTGATATGCTGAATGTAGAGGTTTTTTTTTTAATCCTTTTCGCCTTTTTTTTTCTTCCTCCTCTATAACCTCTGCGCCCCTTCCATGTGATCGTTATGCCTCCTTCTTTGTGGCTTTCTTCTCAACGTCGTACATCTCTTTGCTTATGCTGAGTGGTTCCGATGTCACAGACGCGACAAAGTCAGAAATGGCCTCGAAGTAGCCATCCTCCAGCACACTCGAGTTGTGGTCGCCGTTGGGCAGGGGCTTCCAGATTTTGTTGGGGGCGGCCGATAGTTCGTAAAGTTGGCGCATGTGATGTGGACTGAGACATGCGACAAGTCAAAAAGCCGAACGTGTGTCACAAACCGCAAGCAGAGAAGGGTAGACGGGGCTTGGCGCTACAGGGCGCGGGGCGAATACTTACGGCACGATCTCGTCCTGGAGGCCGCTTAGGAACAGAATCGGGACCCTGGTGATGGACGGGATGAGCGAATCCGAGGGCCAGACTTGGTGGCACAGAATGGCAAAGTATTTTGCCGGGGGTACGACGGAGGGGATAAGCTTCCGCATGCTGAGGAAGGTGTTTTCGAGTATGAGGCCGACGATGTCGCCGGCGGCCTGGTTTTTGCTGACGAGCTTGACGCTGACAGCGCCGCCGAGGCTCTGGCCGTAGACGACGAGGCGGTGGGAGCGGGTCTCGGCGCGGTCGCGCAGGTAGTCGAGAGCCGTCTGAGCATCCGTCATCAGACCAGACTCGTCGGGGGCTCCAGTGGAGAGGCCGTAACCGCGGTACTCGAGCATGAAGACGTTGCAGCCGATAATGCCGATCAGGTGGCGGGCGATAGGCAGGCGGTGCCCGATATTGCCAGCGTTACCGTGGAACATGATGACCGTGACGTTGGCGTTGCGACCGCTGCGCGGGCCGCGGATGTAGAAGGCCGAGAGCGTTTCCCCATCATTAGTCGATATCATGAGCTCCTCGAAGTCGGTTATGCCGAACTGGGAAGGGCGCGGCACATCTGTCCGCGAGTTAGGTGGCATGTGCGAAGGGTAGATGAGCGCCCTGTAGGCGGGGTCATCCTGTTAGTATCCTGCGGCATGGTTTTTCGGGGTAGCGGCGGCGCGGGCGCGGCCAAGTCGGATGCGCGCGAGGGTCTTGGGGGCGCGAGCGCTTACTTCTGCTTGAAGTACAGGAGGGAGGTGAGGATAGCGGCAAGGCCCTAGACGGAGGGGAAAAAAGGAGAGCAAACAGTTAGCTTGGCGAGGCTGCCAGGGTGTGATGGGCATTCTCAAAACTCACGGTGGAGGCCATGGCCGGCAGTCGCAAATAGCTGGCGACGCTGGAAACGACCGAGTAGGTCTGATCCAGGAAGCTCTGAGACGGGGCAGATGGAGGCGAAGCGGTCATGACGACGGGCGGCAATGGATCGGCGGTCGAAGTGAGCAGCGGCTGTGCTCGCGAAGGCCTGTCGATTTTCGTCCCCCGTTGTCTCCAGCAACGGCACTCGGCTCTTTCCACCTAGACCTCGACTCAAAATATCCGGTGGCGTCGTCGCCGCCGCCACAGCAAGACAGCCAGGATAAAGCGGCAAGGGGGCCAGAAAGGGCAAGCGAGAAGAAGAAGAGAAGGGAAAAGGACGAAGAAGCAAAGAAGTAAAAAGAAGCAAAAGAAGCAAGAGCCAAGGAAACAAGCAAACCAACACCCAAACAAGGGAATGACTCGAGGGGAAAGGAAGAAAGAGAAGCAGAAGTCATGCAGGGAAAAGAGGAGCTTCTCGTTTCGACCAGGCTGCTTGTGGTGCAAAAGGCCAGCCGGTATGGGAATTGTGGGCGCGGCTTGCAGATGCGGCTTGCGGGCGAGGGCCGGGTTTAAACTACGTCCAGGGGGTCTGGGGCATCGTTATCCATTGCTCGCTGCCCCTGCGGCGAGTCTCAATATAATGGAATTGGCTGTGGGTGGAGGGGCTAGCATCGTCAATTCGCGCGGGCATTGGACCTCAATGGTGGACCTCGATGGGTGGTGGCCTGTGCTTGAGGTGCAGTGAGTGAGTGCTCATGCGGGCGACGTGCTAGGGCCCGCGAGAGCTTGGGCCTTGGGTTCCACGTCGGATCGTCTCGGGCGGGGCTCGTGTGTGTCTGGCCGCTGGTGTGTGACCCCACCAGGCGACCACCTGAATCAAGGCCAAGAGCACCTGGCGGCCCCTGAAGCTTCACCACCCAGAGGCTCTCCTGGAACACAGCACTGAGCGGCGGCCACAGCAGCCAAAGGACTTTAGGCCCGGCGGATGGACCGACAGGGGAATAAATCGATCGAGCAACCGCCGATTCGTGGAGACGGACAAGGATTCCATTGCCGATATGGTGTGTGCGCCGAGCCCCCTCGAGCACGGAATGGCATTGATAATTACACAGTAGGGCGATGCAGAGCGCACAATTGCAATTACCGTCTTGATCTGGGCCTGGCTTTGAGCTTGAAATTGGGCGTGTAGGTCTGGTGGTGGCGTCAAGTTTTGTGGCGTGAGTGCATTCAATGCAAAGTCGATCGTCATCACTCGATTCTCGATTCTCGATTTCCGTGCTCAGCCAGGAAGCCCAGCCGCCCAGCTGTTAGTCCACCAAGCCGAGAACCGACAGGAGGCCAAAGATAGACAGACAGCGCGCCGAATGGAAGGGCTACCCAGGCGTCCGATAGTGGTCCAATGCTGGTCCTAATGGAGTGCATGCCAACTGGAAGGATGTGAAACACGCAGTCCACGGCCCAGAAGGGCCAAGGGGCCGCTGTCATTTGTCCTAAAGCAGGGAGCATCACTCGCTCCGTCGGGCTCCGGTCGCGGGCACGGGAGACCACCACTGGGGACCACCACGGCCAACAACGGACGTACCTACATATGTAGAGGCATGTAGGGTATGGTATGTAGGGTCAGGCATGTAGGTGCAAGGCCATTTTTGGCATTGCATTCGCGCTGCGCTGCCCTGGTGGATTGCGACAGCCCAACCTAGACCCGCAGCTGGCGTGGTGGCTGCCCGGGCAGTGCCTTGCAGTTGCGCTTACTCCAACGAGCCTGAGCCGAGCCGTGTTCCAGGGGCTCAGGCTCAAGCTTTGCCCTCAGCCGTGTGAATGGGGAATGCATGGAGCTGCAAATGGAGGATGGAGCCACGGCCGGGGAGACGCGCGCCAAACCGGCTGCGTGACTTGGCCCGATTCGGCAGCAGGAGCAGTGCCCCGGCCCACCCCAAGGGAGCGATTATTTTTGTTTCTCCTTGCTGCGACTCTGGCGGTGGACCAATCAAGGACGCGACAGCGTCTGAGCGCCGCCCAAGCCCACTCGCATCTTCCGCTTGGCAAGGAAGGCGTGTGGCCAGTCGCGTACCTTGGATGCATGGGCTCGTCGAATGGGGTCCGCCGAATGTGCTCGCGGATAACAAACCGCGACTGAAGAAATCCGAAACATGTTGGGAAGATAAAAGGCTGACATGGGCGGCGCTTGTAGAGTCTGCATTGTGCATGAGATGAAGGCGAAGACGTAGGCGAAGGCGACCACTCGAAGGTGTGTGTGGTGCTGGTAGAAAAAAACAACGAGACACATAGGTACTACAGACTCCAGTAGGGCGTTAGTCATTTTACGTGCATCTGCGCCTGATGGGTACGAAAAGCGTCGTTTGGGCAGCCATCTCCATCCAACCAAGGCACCCACAACAAACAAATCGACAACAGCAAATTCTGCAAAGATCCAATTCTGATCCAACAAACAACACAACCTCCCTCCTACTTTCTGCCTCGGTACACACTTCCATCTGCTTGTAAGGGCTCGCGCGCACAAAATCATAAACACAAATCCCATCCTCGACTGTCAACCCAGGCACATTCGTCCAAAAAGGCCCCAGCCAGAAGCCGCCCCAGCCCAGGTCGCAGGTCCGAAACAAAACCGACCCCAAAGCCAGAAAAAAGTCCGCTTTTGGACCGCTCGGCCTGGCCCCCCTGCTCCGCTCCTGATCGTCCTGTCGCGCACACAGCCCACTTTGGCACTCGAGACGACTCGAGAGCGCGCGGGCTTTGATACAAGAGTCTTCTGCCCGTCATCCTCTTTGCTTCTTCCATCGCAATAGACTCAAGATCGATTGACAGCGCCTCGCCGTCGCAACACCCCGCCGCGGCCTGACCGATACTCGTGACCCTCGACGACCCGCAGTCGCCCCCAACAACAAGCAACCCGCCACCATCGCTGCTCCAACAACAAACGCGCCCGGCATCGGCTCCGCTGCCCATCCAAGTTTTTTGCGCAAACCCAACCCGAACGCCTCGCCATCGCCCGCCCTTGGTGTCGAGCCAGGACGATCCCCGGCACCCACGCCAATCAAAAGACCAAGGCTCACTTGCATACCTACCCATCAGCCTGCCTGCTCGCTCGGCACATTCAGGTAGCTTACCTCGCCCGCCTACGCTTAGTAGACAGAGGGACAACACATCGCCCGCCGGCTGGCTCCTCGGCTCTCTCGCGCCCGACTTTTGCGCCCCAGTCTAGACACGCACACATAATTATCACCTGTTCGTCTCTTTTGGCCGCATTCCTGCCTGCGGTCACCCATCACAATGGTTTCCTTTTCGTGCGAGGTATGTTGGTTATGTCATGTCCTCTCAGTCCCCCCTGCCAGCATCACACAAACACACCCCAAGCCAACGTCAGGTTGCATCCGGGGGCCATTGTCTTTGCGCCTGGCCCTTGGTGTCTATCCGTGCCGTGCTAGCAGCGTGCCCGCTTGAACTCTGCTCTGCAGCTTGCATCGCGTTGCGCTGCGTGGTGGTGGCGTTGCCCCCCTCCCCCCTCCCTCGTCCCGAACGGACGAACCCCCTATTGCTCAAGCAACCCACCATTCCTGACAGGGCGTAGCCATGTTACACCCACACCCCCTCCCCTTGAGCCCATAATCTTAATGCTTGACATCACACGCTCCCGCCCACACCACGGATCGTCAGTCCGTCAACAACAACCTTTTGCCTCAAACACCCCCCTCCACCCATCCCATCCCCATCCCATCCCTCCCAATTCGCCCTATTGCCCGGACGTTGTGTTCTGTTATACCCTCCACCCCCACCCCTCCTCGTCGGTCTCTGGCATGACCATATATCACCGGCGCCTCTTTCGCCTCCTTCCCCGCGCGCAATCCATCTAACTCGGCAATCCCCATCTCAGAACTGCGGTGATGTTATGACCAAGAAGAAGCTCGATCCGCACCGTAATCGCTGCCACGGAGCCACCTTCACCTGCATCGATTGCATGACACACTTTTACGGCGTTGATTATCGCAACCACACGGTAAGCTGAAATGGCGGCGTCTCTGGCTGGAGGCGCTTACTACGTGTGTAAGGTGTGTAGACTCGACTGACACTCGGAGCAGAGCTGCATTTCGGAGGACCAGAAATACCAGGGCGCACTCTACAAGCCCAAGAAGGGAAAACAGACGCAACATCAAGAACCTGTTGAACAGTACCAGACACCCGCTGGAGACGACCGCAGTAGAACCATGGCCCACATCGCATACGTCGAGGATGCCCCAGAGGACTACGACGAGTACGACTTCAACGATGACGAGGACGATGTTCGGCCCAGGAGCGGCCCGATGCCCCACGCGCCCACGCCTCCGTCGGGTGCGGACCAGCACGTGAACGTCTTTGACTTTCTTGTCGCCAACCCGACCCCGAAACCCTCCAACTCGGACCTGAGGGCTGAAGCGTTGGCTTCGGCCAGCGAGGACGAGAAACCGGACGAAGGCAACCAGCTGGTACGCTTCCAGTATGATACAGTCGAATCGATAGAGAAGAGCCAGGAGGCGGTCGACGAGAAGCGCGGGCTTGTACAGTACGGAGCCGACTCCCCAGTGCTGTCAGCCAACCTCCAGACGCCAGCCCCCAGGGTGGAAAAGAAGAAGAGCAGAGACAGCGATAAGAAGGACAAGAAACGCAAGCGCCTTCACCTCGATATCCATGACTCGGTTATGACGGACGCGCCCCCGATCCTGCACTCGGGCCTTACCGGTGGCCTCAAGGGTATGATGCGCGGCCCTTCGGTCTTTCCTCCCTCGCCCGAATATTCTGCCGACGCGGCCGAGACGCCCGCCAGCCCGCTCAAGAAGACTCGGCACTCTAAACACTCCAGCTCGGGGACAGGCCACCGGGTCACGTCGATTGGCTCGATTGGCAACAACCTGATGTCAATGCTCACGGGCCCTTCCAAGCCCAAGACCACCAAGAAGAGGAAGCACGGGTCCCCTGGGGCCAAGAAGTCTTCCAAGTCCAAGCACAAACATGAGCACGATCACCACCACCATCATCATCACAAGTCATCAGACAGCGAAAAAGTTGAAAAGGTCGAAAAGGTCGAGAAGGTCGAGAAGACCCACAAGGCCAAGAAGATGATCGAGTACCGGCCGGGATCCAAGGACAGCAAGGACGGCGACAAGAGCAAGGACAAGAACCAGTCCGTGGTGGTGTACGGCAAGCACGCGCAGCCGGCCGACATCCTGCTGAACCTGGTCAACAAGGGGCCTGACAGCGAGCGCGGCTGTAGTATGAACAAGGCCCTGAAGCGGTTCCACCGGGAGCTGAGCTCGTCGGGCAGCAGCACTGGCAAGCTCATGGACGAGAAAGAGCTGTGGCGGTCATTGCGCCTGCGCAAGAACGACCGCGGCGAGGTGGTCCTGTTCTGTCCGTGATGTTCTTGCCTGATCAAGAGCGGATAAAGTGACTTGCCGCCCCTTTCCCTCTCTTTTTTTTCTTGTTTCTTTTTTACTCTTCTTTAATACCCTTTCTTATTTCCTATCATGTTTTTGTTTTGGCGTGTACCAAAACCCCCCGCGGCGTTTCAAGGAGTTGCAAGCCTGACTTTTTGGTTATATCTGGTGGATTCATGATACCTTGCATGTGCTGAGAAAAGACGGACAAAGTCGCTCGCACCGGAGAGTGGATGGCTGGGGGAAGGGATTGGGAGGCTGGGATGTATGGTAATGGAAAAGAGTTCTTCTTTTTTTTCTTCTTTCTCCTTGTTGTTCAATGCCCACGGTTTAACACGCGTGGAGCTTGTTTGGGCTCGCAAGGGGGTTCCGGGGTTGTGGTCCCCGAGAGAGCGAGAGATCTTGGGCGCAGTCGAGGAGGAGCAGGTTGTTCTCGTGGTCGTTTCGTCAGAGGTCGCGGTTGACCTGGTCACGGCGTGCTTGGGATGGCGCATCATATTTGATGACAGCTGGGCTGCCACCGACTTCTTATTAATTGCTGTACAACTGACTGTTTGACCTTGGCCGACATCTTTTCTTCTTTGAGTGTTTTATTTCCTCCAAAGTCTTTTCGTTTAATCCATCTTTGTTTGCCTACACGAGCGTCTGATTCATACGTTCAAGCTAGCATTCGTTGAAAATCAAAAATCAAAGTCCTCAAAAATATTAATGGGTCATAAAACGCTACAAAGGATGATGCTATTTGCAAGGACGGGAACGCAAAACGAGCCAGCCCGGCTCAGGCTGCGAGGGCGGCCCTTAGGGGCAGGATGTGCTGGACCAGGGCCTCGCGCCTGCACAGGGGGCACTCGGGCTTCTCGCGGACCCAGTCGCCGATGCAGGACCAGCAAAAGACGTGGCCGCACGACGTGGCGGCCGGGTCGCGCATCTCGTCGAGGCAGAGGGTGCACTTGCGCTGGTGTTGGCCCTTGATCCAGCCCATCATGGCGGCCGGGCCGCCGCGCGAGAGGTCGTAGCGGGCGGCGGGCGCGACGGGCGTGTGGGTGGCGCGCGGGACGTCGATGGCGGTGGCGCCGGCGCCGGAGCCGTCGGCCCCCGCCGCGGCCAGCTCGCCCGGGAACAGGAGGAGGCCGTTATTGGAGGCGAAAGAGTGCTCGTGGTCGAGGCTGACCTCGACGCCGTACGCGTGGTGGTGGTGGTGGGTGGCCGCGAGCTCGTCGGCCCCAGGGGAGGAGGAGGAGCCCGAGGGCGCGGGGCTGGCCAGCACGGAGCGGGCGTGCAGGTAGGCCTGGATGGCGAACTGGACGACCATGAGCACGCCGAGTATCTCGTAGCCACCGCGGCCGTCGCGGCCGGCGGCGGCGGGCCCGCCCGTCACGTTGCGGGTGAATATGTAGCGCAGGCCGACGGCGCGCTTGGCCAGGTTGTAGTAGGCGCCGCCAAAGTAGAAGGCCGTCAGGGCGGCGGCCTGCCAGGGCGCGCCGCTCGTCAGGACCGGCAGGTGCTCGAGTATGTAGCGCTCGATGCGGGCCTCGAGAGGGACGGCGGGCGCCGCCGTCTTTTGCGGGCTGCTCTTTTTCAGAGAAGATGTGGGGGTTGCGGTTGTTGTTGCGGTGGCAGCGGGTGCCGAGGACGCGGCGCGGCCGGCCCTCGCGGCCAGGGTGCGCAGGCGCGCCTCCAGCCGCCTCCGCAGCACGCCCCTTATCGAAGGCAGGAGTCGCGAGAAGAGATGGGGCACCAGTATGCTGGCGACGATGTAGGCGGCGCGGCGGGCCACCGAGGGCAGGCGTGGGGCGCGGCTGTTGTATCCCGCGCCGTCGCCCAGGAAGGGCAGCGGCAGGGCCGGCTCCGACTCGACCTGGAGCAGGTCGCAGTACTCCTCGCCCAGGGTGCGATTGCCGATCAGGGTCGTCAGGGCCAGGTAGGCGACGTCGGCGGCCTGGCGGGCCGGCCCGGCCCAGGCGTGGGCGGAGCGGGCGCCGAGGAGGCGGCGGTGCAGGTCCGTCAGCTGGTTCGTGAGCACGCCCGAAAAGTAGGCGTCCTTCTGGTGCGCGCGGATGATGTCGGGGGCGGCGGCGTAGGGGAAGGGCGAGGGCTCTGGCGGAGGAGGCCTGGCTCCGGTCGGGGCTGCCATGGGGTCAAGCCGCCTCGCGGGGAGGCGCTAGAGCTTGAGTGTGTTTTGGTGCAGGCTTGTCTGGCTGGAGTCTGTCTGTGGTGGAGGCAGTATCCGGACTGGGATGGGTGGACGGGGGATGGGTTTTGAGGGTCCAGGAGTGTGGTTATGGATGCGCCAAAAAGTTACCTCGGTATTCCTGACGCGTGCAGTGCTGGAGTGCTCCTGCCAAAAGTGTGCTGCTGGACTGCACTGCGCTGGTCTCAACAGGCCCGTGCGCGGACATTTCATGTTAGGTACAAGGTACGTAACTCTGGCCCCACACGGCCCCTGTCTGTCGCATCCGCATCCCTGACAGCGGCCCAGCTCGCAGCACTTGGATCCTGACGTCGCGGGTCGGCCAAGATCAGGGAGAAAGAAAAGCTCCCAGAATCAAAAAAGGTCAGGGGCTCACCAACGACCATGATATCCGAGACCACACCACCACAAACCCTCCTCGACGACCGCCCGACTCCCGCTTGATGCGCCCACCCTCCCGACCGACCCTCTCCCCGCGGCGCAATGGACGGTGACGGCAACCCCCGCATGGCCCTCGAGCACGGCCTCGACGGCTTCGGCCTCGTCTTCCCGCTGCCCTTCCGGGTCGCCTGCGTCGTCGTGGCCGCCGTCTGGGGCTGGGCCGCCAACCTGCACTACCTGCACCTGATGCGCATCGACGTGCCCGCCCTGATCCGCTACCCGGCCCGCGCGTCGGCCTCGCAGCCGCCGCACCACGTGTCCACCTACCGCCTCGCCTCGCTCCTCTCCGCCACCGTCGCCGCCTTCCTGCTGCTCTTCTGGGCCGTCACGCGCCGCAAGCCCGGCGCCGTGCTCGACCACGACTGGATCCCCATGTCGTGCCTGTTCACCCTCGCCGTCCTCTTCGCCGTGCCGCTGCACCGCACCGCCCTCGCCGTGCCCCACGCCGGCCGCCGTCGCCTGCTGGCCACGCTCCGCCGCGTCTCGGTCGGCGGCCTGGCCGAGGCCCACAACGGCAAATTCGGCGACATACTGCTCGCCGACGTGCTGACAAGCTACTCACGCGTGCTGGCCGACCTCTACGTCTGCGTCTGCATGTTCCTCCGGTCCGGCAACTCGGCCGCCACGGCCCCGCCCGACCGCGCCTGCGGCGCCTCCCTCGCCGTGCCGCTGCTGCTGGCCCTGCCCTACGCCATCCGCCTGCGCCAGTGCCTGACCGAGTACCTGCGCGTGCGCCGGGCGCCCTACAAGGAGTCGGTAGGCTGGGGCGGCCAGCACCTGGCCAACGCGGCAAAGTACGCCACCGCCTTCCCCGTCATCGCCCTCAACGCTGCCGTCCGCCCGGGCGCGCCCCAGACGAGCAGCAGACCCCTCCTCGGCCGCGCCTGGGTCGCCGCCGTGCTGCTCAACTCGCTCTACAGCTTCTACTGGGACGTGGCCAAGGATTGGGACCTGACGCTCCTGTCGGCCCGCCGCCGCGCCGCCGCGCCGGACCAGCCGTATGGCCTGCGCCGCCGCCTGCACCTGGCGCCCGGCCCGCCCGCCTACTACGCCGCCGTGGCCCTCGACCTCGCGCTGCGCTGCACCTGGGTCGTGCGCGTCGTCGGCCCCACGGCCGACCGCGCCTCGGGGCTCGAGGGCTCCATCTTCGCCCTCGAGCTGCTCGAGGTCCTGCGCCGCTGGGTCTGGATCTTCTTCCGCGTCGAGACGGAGCACGTGCGCAACACCACCACCGGCCACGGCCTCGCCGTCGACGACGTGCTCCTGGGCGACTACCAGGGCAAGAGCGAGGAGGACAGCGAGGAGGACTAGGCGTCCTGGGGGCGGGCTTGGTTCAAAGGAAAATAGACTGGAAAGAGAAGGAGGAAAAAAAAGAAAAAAAAAGAAGGCGGGGGGCATGGCGTGTAATAAACTGTACCAACAGATCGGCGCGTTTGATGACTCTGGATCTGCATGCTTATGAGGAGTCGGCTGTTTGTTGGTTATGAACACTAGAAAGCGGGAGTGGCTTTTGCTGCAGCAATATAGATGGGGGTTTGTTTTTGGATAGGAATAATAGAACGACTGCGTACTGATCTGTCCTGTTGGCTGAGCAGTAGAACCCTTTTATCTCGTCGAGGAACCCGGTATTATTGCATGTATCCAAGAGCCGCGTGTAGCCCCGGCCTAGGCTGAATAGCATAAGAGGTAGAAATTACAGGCGGTAGGTGATGCGTGTGCCTTCTATACTGTATGGGGCATCTATGTATAAGAAAAAAGAAAGAAAAATGAGAGGGAGCTCTCCAATATACAAGAGGCGTCCCCTGCATCCCCCCCTCCCTCTCCCCCGCCCCATCCACCTTGGCCCCCTCACAGAAACCAGGTGAACCACGGCCTGCTCCTGGTGTTGGGCGCCTTGAGCTTGTTGAGGCAGTAGCCCGGGTGGTTGCGCGACCTGGCCCTGCCGTCGCACTCGCACCGGCAGCCGACGCCGCCCTCGGCCTCGGGCGCCCACTTGTCGTCGTCGCCGAGCGCGCGGTTGCCCTGCAGCTGGCCGCCGGCGGCGTTGGCGGGGCACTGGTATAGGCTGTCGTGGCGGTACCCGATGTCGGCAAAGTGGTGCACCTGCGCCGAGTCGAGCAGCATATCGACGGCGATGGAGTGCACCGCCGCGTCTCCCCACTGTGTTTTTTTTTTGTCACGAGTTGTCAGGTGTTGTTCGAGTTTCGACATTGTCAAGTCAGAAGGTCAAATAAGAAAAAGATCAAATATACGCACCCGCTCAAAGTAAAAGCCCCCCTTGGAGTCCAAGTGCTGAAACAGGTCCTGGTACTGCTTCCCGCGGAAGAAGTCCATGTCTGCAATCTCAAAGTTGCTCCAGTAGTGGCACGCGCTCCACAGGTCGCCCAGGCGGTCGCGCTGCGAGAGCCACGCGCCCAGGCGGCGGAGCGGCCAGGGCGCCCACGAGGCCTGCACGGCCGCCTTCCAGAGCGGCGTGGTCTCGACCCCGTTGGCCTCCTTCCAGTCGGCCATGTGGCGGAACAGGCTCGGGCACGTGTCGCGCTCCTCCCAGAGCGAGATGGTGAAGCCGTACTTCTTGCCGCGCCTGGCCATCTCGGCGAAGGGGTCGTACGTTATCGAGCACGTGAAGTCGACGTCGGGCTCGAGCCGCCAGTACCAGCGGTACCCGCGCAGCGCCTCCAGGGTGTAGAACTTGCCCGAGAAGAAGCGGCACATGTGGTGGTAGCCCTCGAGCCCGCCGTGCGAGACGCCGCGGGCACCCTGGTCGGCGATGCTGGCCCGCGCGGCCGCCGGGTCCACCCAGGGCGGGAACGTCCACTGGTCGGCGGGGATGGTCTCGAAGCGGGCGCCGCCGCTGGCCGTGGCGTTGAGGGCCTCGACGAAGGCGTCCGAGAAGGGCTCGTCGTTCAAAAACACTATCGGGTAGTGGAACCAGCGGTTGAAGCGCCGCTCGACCGACTCGACCGTGTGCCGCGCCTGCTCCAGCTCCGAGTTGCGTGCCAGCATCACGAGCGCCGCCTTCTCGCGCCCCTGCCCCGCCGCCGCCGCCGCCTCGGGGTCCTGGCACCCCGCCGTTCCCAAAAAGGGCTCGTCCAGCTCCCGCTCCGGCCGTGGCACGTTGTAGGTCCGCTGGTGCCAGAGCATCTCCAGCAGCAGCGGCACCGCCAGCCAGAGCGAGAGCCTCACCAGCGGGTGCGTCCGCCGCGGCAGTCGTCTTCTCAGCTGTCGGAGCATCGTGGGCGCGGGCGAGGGAGGGGTCGAGGAGGGAGAAGTGAGGGCTCGGCTCGGCTCGGCTCGTTCTCGTATCGGGCGTGGCCTCTTGTCCGGCTGTCGGGCTTCTGGATTAGGCTTCGGTTCTGGTCCTCGCGGGGCGCGTTTTCCTCTTCGTCTCCGGAGTCTGCCCCAGTCCGGAGCGGCGGTGACGACGCTCAATCAGGTCCGCTCTCCGCATGGGAAACGAGTGGCTGTTGGTGGGATGGCGGCGTGGCCAGGACAGAGCCGGGATATCAATGATTGACAAAGGCAAGCATCAACATGCACTGATGCGCGCATTAGGTGAGCCGTCGTCGGCACCGCCCAAGGTCGGGTGCTGGAATTGAGCCTTAGCAGTCAGCACTCGACCCGAGTTTGGTGGGCGGGCCAGCAGTCCACAGTGCAAGTCTGGTGGTTCCTGCAGCACTAGCCGTGAATCCCTGTCAACACTGAAAATATGAATTGACCGGCACAGGAATCTACAAACTGATAAAAATAAAATAAAAATAAAAATAAAAAGACCAGGCTGCATGATTTGTGTGAAAAGAACCGCTAGCTATGGACCAAAGCTATTGAGATGACTGGGTATAGAGCTATCAATGTTCCTTGGTCTCCCGCACGCGCAATTTCGCCAGCCTCGTCGATATTTCCATACATATCAATACAGGTTTAAACAGCTCGTTATTATGTCAAGTGCGCGTCATGTAAGTTGGCCTCCTTACCACTTGCATGACTTCATGTGAGCGTGCGACCCCTTGGTGGTCGTCGAGGACGGAACCTGTTGCCCTGAGGGATGGCGCTGGCTGGGCTGTGGCATTCGCCGGGGTAGATACTGGCGAGCAAGGGGGTAGATGCAATGCCGGCCGACCTTCGCATAGGGTAAGGGAGCAGTGAGGGGAATGCGGTGGTGGGCGGGCGCGTGACTTTTGATGCTTCAGCCATGGGTTAGCCTTGTGCATTGCTGGGGCCACTCTTCGAGGATCTCCTCATCTTGATGATTCTCTCCTTCAGTTCCTTCTCTCGCTGGAGATTTGCTTCTTGTTTCGCGATCGTTGTGGTCTGCAGGCGTGGCGAAACACCAGAAACAACTGCATCAGCTATGGACTTTTCTACGACTTCAAAAATGCTTATTCGGGTGTGAGGCCGACCTTTGTTGGCAAGCTCGAGGCTGCGGCAGGAGCTTCGCTGGCGGGCAGCTGCGGTCGCCTGTCTTTAGCTCGAGAAGCATCAGCTGAAGTGTCTCGCGGCTGTCTCGGGGGTGAAACCGAGGGACTGAGGCGTCTCTTTCCACTCGAACCATGCCGCCCATGCCGTGAGCCGCCACGGCTACGGCGTCGGCTCCGATCAGGGCTCCGTCGTCTACCACGGCTGCGGCTCGGCGAGCGCCGCCGGCTGTGTGGGCGACGACGCCTGTTGTCCCTAGCACCGGCCGGGCTGCTACTGCGGGTCGACGACCGCGCCCTCTTTCCACCCCGCCGGGACCTGCGACTATCATCGTGAGAAGGGCTACGGCTTGTGCTAGCACGTCCCGATCGGCGTGCCGGCTTTGGGCTGCGGGAAGCCGAACGGCGGTCTGATGATGACGACGAGACGCTTCTGGAGCGACCTCGGTGTCGTTCGCCCGACTTGCCCCGCGAGCGAGACCGGCGACGGCGCTTGGGGGATGGGGACCGAGAGCTGCTCTCTCCTGATGACGAGCGACGACGCGATCGGAAGGACCGTCCTGCCGAGCGGGACCGCTTCCGCGCCCCTCGGTACCGCGGCTCGGCCGCTCGGCGCCGGCGGGACGGCGATGGCGACCGAGACACGGAGCGGCGGACACTCATTGCACTACCACTGCGAGACGAGGACCGAGAGCTTCCAGAGCCAGCCGATGCCGACCGGGTGGGGGATCTGCGCCGTGTGTCTGCACGCCTTCCTCCAGGTCCTCCCTGTCGGCCCCGCGGAACGTAGGTATCGCGCGGAGGGGCACGGTACGAGTCTCCGCCGCCACGGCCAGGCGGCGATCGAGATCGATCTCTCCCACGGCCCGCTCCTCCACGCCTTGCAAAGTCCCTGTCGCCGAACCCTCCGCCGCGCCCACGGCCGCCGCCACCGCGCCAGCTGTCAAAACGACCCTCGCCGCGACCGCCACGGTCTCGGCCAGCCAGTGCCTCGCGTCTCTGTCGAGCTTCCTCGGCCGCTTTTTCGGCAGCCTTCTCGGCTTCAATCTGTCGAGAAAAAGCGCCCATCGGTTAGCAGCAACACGATATAAAGCATCTTCTCGAAGCAGCATGGGGCGAGGAACCCGTAGGACTGTTACCTTTTCCTGAAGTAACTCCCGCTTCTTGGCCTCGAGAAGCTCTTTCGGGACACCTTGAGGGCTCGCCTGGGCGCTCAGGCAGAGATTCCATAGCTCCTTGCAGAATGTGGGGGTGTCCTTATCGAGGAACCCAGTGATCTGGATCTGGATGCTCTTGATGTCGGGCTGTTGCACATGCGCGTCGTCAGAAAAAAAGGACGGGTGTTGGAAAAGAGGGCCGGCGCAGAACCTACGAATCGGTTGTCCTCGATCAGGTTTGAGCAAAGCTCAATCACGACGTCGTCCTCGTTGCCGAGAATCTCGGAAATCCTACCGGTGATCCATCTTCACGGGCGCGTCAGCGGAAGCCTTGGGGCGACGGTGGGCGTGGTGATACTCACTTCTTCATCACCTGCAGGTTGACCTTGCGCATGTCCACCTTCTGATTGAACTCGGGCGGGAACTTGGTCGCCTTGAGCAGTTTGGCATCCACTCCGGTCGCCATTCTGGGCAAAGTAGGAGCCCTGATGGCTCGATTAGGTGTGGTGGTCGGGCTGTCACTTTTTCCCAGGTTGAACAATGGATGGTAGGCGCCAGCAACAAAGGTGAAAGATTGACGCATGTCGGGTGTGCAAATCGGTAGAGAGGCCCACCATGTGGGTCAGGGCCCGCCCGTTTTCCCAGGTGGAGACTCCATTGCCGATCATTAGGTATGCAGGACCCCGCAATGGCTCAGTGGGCTTGGCCTCACACGACCCTGGCCCGTCGGCATGACAGTCTCGTCGCAATGTTTCAACCAAACTCCCTTGTTATCTCAGCCGGCGACACTCTTGTTGAGCCTGCGGCATGACCAGTAATTCTTGGAAGCCCCCTGACCAGAGATCACACCCCGTTGGGAGATCTCTAGCGCAAGTGGTGAAGGCACATCGCAGCCTGGGGCGTCAGTGACTCCTTTCTGCAAGCACGCTACTGAAGTAAAGCAGATGAATACTCCGTCTCTATGTGTCCAATAAACTAGGTGACCATCCATCCAAGGCCGGGAACCCCCTCCTATGCCCGCCCTATTCACCGCCGGTTTGACCGCTCAATCTTCTCCCTTGTCCACCATCACCGCGCACAGCACCGTCGCTCGTGTCCCGGGATATTCCTGAGTTTAGTCCACCATGCCCCGTCCATGCCCCGTCCATGCCCCGTCCATGCCAATGTGCCCAGTACCCTGATAGAAACATCTCCCACGTGCGCGTATGATGATGCGTGGTGGCCATAATAGAAGCATGTAGGCAAAAAGAATCGGCGACACACGTGCCCAGTTGTAAAATAAATGAAACGAAAGGGGAGAAAAGTATGTTGTTACATATCCGGAGAACGCTCATCCACCCATCTTTTCTGGCCCGTAAGGAAGGAGAGGAAGGAAAAGGGAAGGAAAAGAAATGATGTGGGCAAAGGAAAGGAACCAAAATACACCAGAACAAGACGCCAGTGAATCCGTGATTAAATGCCCGTCGAACCTCATAACTCCGGTGCTGCCGAGTCCTTTAGAAAGCGTGATAGTGCAGCGCATAGTAGATAGAAGTGGGTAAGGAATGTGTCCCGTCAAACGTTGATTTCGTGAATGTTGGCTGAACCGGACGGCGCGGCAAGCGACGTCGTAGGTTGGGCCATACGGGGTTAATCAGGGGTGTCTCGGAAAGCTGTAGCGATTGTGCGCTTCCTTCTTCTCTGCTGCCTGGGCCTGCTGCCTCGCAGCCAAGGCCTGCACCTTCTCTCGTGCCCTCATCAGGCTCGAGTTGTCCTGCTGCTTGATCTTGGCACGGATCTCGTAGAGCGACATGAGTGTGGACGCTCGGTCGACTTCCTCTTCGTTCTGCACAGAGGGTAGCCAGAAGCAGCGCCTTGTTAGCCATCGTTTCCAGTCCGGACCATGGTTTCCGAAGGAGTCCGAAGAAGCCCGGTGTGGTCCGGGATGCGGTGTCCGGGTTGCCTCTCTTACCTCTGATTCTCTCCGTGGAGTTCCCGGCAGGGAGCCATGGCTGGAGCTGCTCCGGGTCATGGGCGGAGTCAAGATTCGACGGCCGAAGTGGTCAAATCTGGAGGCGGGGGAAGCGGTGCGGCCAGCCGAGGCCGAGGACGAGTTGACGCGGTGATGGTGGCGCCCATCCGCAGGCAGCTTCAGTGTGCTGCGGACATGGTCCGGAATCGCGGCCGTCGCTTGCAGGCCCTTGTTGGCGTTGACCAGCGCAAGGGCGGCTGCTGCTTCTTGCTGTGGTTTCACGTGGTCGCCGTGTGAGCCATTTGTTTTGTTCCTCTCTTCATCCACGGGCAGCCATCTTGGTCGGCACATGTCCTCCTTGAGGCGCGCTCGGCCGGCTATAACAGGGGCGGGTGGATGGGACGCGGAAAGGCGTTATCCGCAACAGTAACAAGGAAAACAAGGAGAGGTGGCGCATACTGCAGCATCCAGATCGCTGAGGTCAGCCAGCATCTGCGCCAGTTGAATGCTCTCCATGGTCTATGATGGCACGCACATGCGTGTTGGGCGGTTTCGAGGTATGTAGACGGGCGGGTCTCGACGTCGGCGATAGGTATTTTGATAAAACCCAGCGAGGGGAAAACGGGTTTGCGTCGTCGGTCGGTCTGGGTCGCGAGGTAATTTTTTTTTTCTTGGTGGTTTCTGAGTAAGGCGAAATGGGTGTGGACGTCGGTGGCTTGCGACGAGGATTGGCCACCTTTAAATGAGAGCGCGTGTGACAGGCTCCGATGCGACGCAGGCAGTGGTTACGCGGATGTAGGCCATCGGAGCTACAGGACAGATCGAGAGCGTCGGCCAAAAATGGCGGAGCATCAATGGGAAACAACCAACAAACCCTAGCCTGCCTGGTTCCCCCAAGAATGCGGGGGGCCGACGCACAGCGGTGGGTGGGGTTCGGGTGGTCGCCTGGCCTGCAGCGGGGGGCGCTCAAGTCACAGTTATCAGCTCCAATTGGAGGACAAGACGGGACGCTGCAGCTGGTGCAGAGGCAAGGCGGTCTGGGCTTCTAGGCTGGGCTTCCAGAACGGCAATTTTCAGGGCCGTGGAGTCCGGTCATGACGCGACAGCTACAGCCACCCGACAGAGCACCCGGATCCTGATTCCCGTCCTCCAATTGTTTGTTATCCTCCAGCTCAGCGTTGGTTGGACGCAAGCAATCGCTGGCCTTTGTTCCTCTTCGGCTGATTTCGGATCCGATCGCTGCCGTCGCCTATTGTTCCCTCAAACTTGCCGACAACTGACGTCTACCCATTGACCCGGTTCGCCACTTGCAAAATGTCAGGTGTTCTGATGCGTAGCTCGGTACGTACTGTTCGCCCTCCAGGCCGCTAAACTTGTATGGTGCAAGGCTGCAATGCAAGTGCAAGGGCAGCCCAAGGCAGGATAAAGATGCATATATATATATATATATATATCCACCACATCAGAAAGACGACAGGGTGTAAGCGGCGGAAAGACGGAATGCAAGAAAAGAGAGAGCGGGATCAGGCCCTCCCAACTCGGGGTTCTGTCCGGTCTCGCATCTTGATGGGAGCCGAGGATTTTGGTGGTGCGAGGTGGAATTCGGCGCTAAGGTGGAGACGCTTCTCTCCTGGATGACTGTCTCTGTTGCGAATATCCAGTGAATAAATACGGACGGTCGTGCCCGGTAGACTGACTTGACTCTCTCGACGAGAACACTACTACCAGCTCGGCAACATGATGTCCTTTCGCCGCGGGATAGCAACCATGGCCTCACTTCGCAACGCCCGCAAGGTCGTGTGCATTGGCCGCAACTATGCGTGCGTTGAGTGACGCCCCTTTTCTGCCAGACGGGTTTCCCAAGCTGACTGCCCAACAGCGACCACGTGACCGAGCTGAACAACACCAAGCCCAAGCAGCCCTTCTTCTTCCTGAAGCCTGCCTCCTCCATCGTGCTGCCTGGCACTGGCCCTGTCGTCCGGCCTAGGGGCGTCGACCTACATTATGAGGTGGAGCTGGCCCTCATCATTGGCAAGGATGTCAAGGATCTGAAGGCGGACGACATGGAGGGCGCCCTTGATGCCATCGACAGTCAGTCACCATCATCTTGGCCGAGAGGGAGCGAGTCCTGTCCTCGGTCACCCCGTAAAGTGCTGCTCAACTGACAGATGCAACGCATGCGTCCAGGCTATGCGCTGAGCATCGACATGACGGCCCGCAACGTTCAGAATGAGGCCAAGAAGAAGGGCCTGCCATGGGACATTGCCAAGGGCTTTGACACATTCCTGCCTATCAGCAACATCATTCCCAAGTCGGCCATTCCCAACCCGCACAACGTGGAGCTGTACCTCTCGGTCAACAACGAAGTTCGCCAGCAGGACTCGACGGGGCTGATGCTGTTCCAGATCCCCCGGATCCTGAGCGACATTTCGCACGTCATGGCTCTTGAGAAGGGCGACATTGTCCTGACCGGCACCCCCAAGGGCGTGGGCTCGGTAGCGCCTGGCGATGTCATGCGTGCTGGCCTTCGGGTCGACGGCAAGGAACTCGAAGAGGCCAAGATCGAAATTCCGGTTGAGGAGTCCACGAGCGCCTACATGTACAAGGAGACCTAGTTTGTGCCGTGGCCATACTGAACAAATATCACTGATGTGTTTACAGTGTTTTGGAAAGTGCACTAGCTTGTCCAGGCCAGGTCGATACATTTTGGTCGTCGAATCACGTGGGCGCCTTTCAGGGGTCTCGGGGTTTACTTGTAAATAGAGTTGGATATTTGTATCTAGGACAAAAAGAAAGCTGGGGAAAACAGATACAAGAAACCGCCATATACCGGAGAGAAAGGGAAAGCTGCCAACCCAGGACAAGGGAGTCCAGCTTACTCCTTGTTTGGATCCTGGATGGAGCCAGGCTTCGGGCACCAGTCGGCAACCTCGCCGCACGACTTGCAGGTGCGGACGGCGCCGTCGGCCTTGAAGGCCTCGACGGCGGCCTTGATCTGCGTGCCGAGGTCGGTGCAGTGGAAGGCGGCCTCATGCACGACGGCGCGGCAGGACTGGCAGTACCAGCGCATGCGGTCGACCGACTCTGCGGGGCGGCGCTGCTCCAGCACCACGCCGACCGTGTCGGCGAAGCGGACCGGGTTGTGCGGCGTGTTGCCCGGCAGCAGGAACATGTCGCCCTCGCGGATGACGACGTCCCGGAAGATGCCGTCGTCGACTACCTTGAGCACCATGGCGCCCCGGTACTGGTAGAACCACTCGGGCGTCTGGTTGATGTGGTAGTCAGTGCGGGCGTTGGGGCCTCCGACGATCTGAGAGTGTGTGTGAGCATGTTTTGCATCCTGTTGGGGGGTGAAAGCAGCACAGGGCGGATGCGGTCTCGCTTTGGTGGCCTACCATAACCGTGAAGTCCCCATTGTAGACGCAGTAGTTGTTGATGGGTGGCTTGAGGAGATGAGAGTTTTCCTCTAGCCTTAATGAATGAACAGTGCCCACGCCTGTCAGTTGGTTGGCTATTGGCAGAAGCCTCAGAGTATTGGTACTTACCACTTGGGCAAGTTTATCGGCGGTGCCAGCATGGTTGGATTCCTTCGAGATGATGGGCCTGGGGGTGTGCAGGCGTGGTGGTGCTTTCGGCCACTCAGTAGTGGCTGCAGCACGCTAGAGTTGCCGATGGCCTCTCAAAAGTGGAAGTCTTGGGCGATGAGAGATGGTGCGGGACTTTTTGGGCAGTCACTTAACCAACCCGGATCCCCCGGTCCGAGTGAGACGGGATGGAAAACGGTTCTCTCGGCAAGGAAAATCCCCCTTTGAGCCGAAAGATACCTTTTGACGTAAGTTCTGAGTAATGTTATTAGCTCAATCGCCGGTTTCATGGGACGATGTAAAAGCCTGGCGCTAGGTGCTGTGGTTCAACGTCTGTGTTACTATAGCACCTTATTTTGCTCAACTGCCTGCCCGCATTAGTGCTGTCTGGTCCTTTCAATAAAATCTGTGTCCAAGCATTGTCTTGCTGTGGATATTGACCCTTCCCAATGCGAGACCTTTACCGCAGAAAAACGTGCTACATTAGCAGATTGATATCTGTAGCTGTTTCTCTTCGAAACAATTCATGCACAAACGTACATTCTCCAAATGTACAACATTCAAGAGAATCGAGGCGCCCTTCGAGCCCTCAGACAACTGTGCCCTGATGCCTGCTACCCCGCCATTGATCGCCTGACCCGTGCAGCTTGGACGGCGCCGCCGGGACGCTACAGGCATGCCACACTCCCTGGAGTGGGGATAGAAAACCTGCTCATATAACTGTTGAACCGACCAGGGCGAGTCGGGGTCCGACCAAAACGAGGCTGAGACAAGACAACGCGAGCCGTCCGTCGGTAATTTCTAGCCTGTACAAAGGAGCGAAGAAACCTCGTCCGATTGAGCTGCGTCGGTTCTGTGCGCCCTTTCATTCCCAGCGTAGCCACCAACGCCCCAAACTCTGCACAACACAAGCTTGCACACGCGCCGAGACCAGATCGAAAGCTTACGCCGCCAACGAACCGACCGACCGCGAGGAGCAGCAGCCCGACGGACGCCATGGACCACTCCCACCACAGCGGCATGGACCACAGCGGCATGGACCACGGCGGCATGGACCATGGGGGCATGGCTAAGTGCAGCATGAACGTAGGGCACACCTATCTCTACCCACTCACCCGTCACACGGTGCCCCATGCGCCCCAACCACCGGCCCGGCTCGCAGAAGGCTGACAAGGGGGGACGGACGGGCCGCAGATGCTTTTCACGTGGGACACGACCAATTTGTGCATCGTCTTTGAACGCTGGCACATCCGCTCGACTGCCGGCCTGATCTTCTCCCTGCTGGCCGTCGTCGCCATCGGGGCCGGCTACGAGGCCCTGCGCGAGTCCATCCGCCGCTACGAGCACTACCTGAACAAGAAGAACGAGGCCGTTCCCCGTAAGTCTGGCCCCACAGAGAAAGAAAGGAGAGGAGCGGAGAGCAGAGTAGAGAAAAAAAAAATACGATATAGACGGCACGAGTCGAGATTTCGGGGGGCTATTTTATATCAAAGAAAATAACACCTTGCTAAAATCCGACAAGGCGCGGACGATGTGGCTGAGACTGAGAGTACCCCTTTCCTCCTAGCAGGACAAAACAAGCCCAAGGTCACCCGCGAGGCGCACGTCCTCAAGGCAGTGCTCTACGGGATCCAGAACTTTTACGCCTTTATGATTATGTGAGTTTCCGAGCAGCTGGGTTACACTTTTTAGCGGGGAGGCCTGGTGTGCTAATTTTGCTCAAACTCGAAAGGCTCATCTTCATGACCTACAACGGATGGGTCATGATTGCCGTCTCGTTCGGAGCTTTCCTGGGATACCTGCTCTTTGGCGGCTCCACTCCCGCGACCAAGGAGACGGCCTGCCACTAAAGTGCGCCGCTGTCAGGAGCAGGCCTCGGCCGCGGCCAAGTATCTTGGAATCTAACCGCCGTGAAAATGGGCCTGATAGTTTGATACCCGGGCTAGACTGTTGGATATCACATGATGAGGGCTCAGGTTTGATACATGTATGAGTGGCCTCATGAACATAGTGTATGTACTTGGAAGAGCCAGGGAGCCGTCAGGTTGTACTGGGCTTGTGACTATAGCATCTGCTCTTGAAACCGAATAACATCTGTCTAAATCTCGGCCGATCCTTCTATAAGAGCGCAGAGATGGGCGGCGTGTACTGGTTCGAGTGTGGGAACACGAGTTCCCCAGGCGGAAAAGGGGCAAAAACAGAGCCCGGCTCACAGCTTGTTCTCGACAATCTGCGACGCCAGCTCCTCGATCATGGGCTCGTCGCCAAACTGCTCGTTGTGCTCAAACTCGGGCTCCTCGGCGTAGGCGATCCTGGCCGCGTCGACGAGCATGCGGCCCGTCATGCCCCAGACCTTGAACCGCGCCTCGGCCGCGTCGTCGCCGTCGGGCTCGTCCCCCAGCGCCGCCTGCCCGTCCTCGCGCGGCCGCGGCCGCGTCACGCGCTGCCGGCCCACGGGCACGAAGAAGTAGTGCAGCCGCCAGCGGTGGCCGTTGTACTCGGTCCACTTGCCCTCGTACCAGCGGCCCGGCGGCAGCGCGCGCGCGGCTGCCGGGGAGTCCTCCTCGTCGGCGGCGAGGAGGAAGTTGTGAAAGGGCGCGCTGAAGACGGCCGCCACCTCCTTGGCGTCCAGGCGCGGCATCAGCGACTCGTCGGCCGTCGGCACCTCGCCCCCGGCGGCGGCGGAGGCGGAGGCGGTGGCGTGCAGAAAGGCCACGCACGGCCGGACCACCAGCCCCGTCCGGGCCAGGCTGTGCGGGAGGTGGCACAGCTGCTCGATGGTGAAGGGCGCCGGGATCTTGGCGTCGTCCATGGGGAGGCCGATCTCCTCCCACGCCTCGCGCCGGGCGACCTGGTCTATACATGCGTGTGTGTGTTGAGTGGTCAACACCCCCATCGCTAGCGGGGGGGACTTCTGTCTCGGCCGACGGGGGAAGCCTTACAAGGAGTCTCCTCTATGGTGTCGGCTTTCCCTCCGGGGAACGCCGCTTGCCCTACGGGGATGGAGCAATCATCGGGGTGTCAGCTTTCCACGGCCGCACCGCCCCACCCAAAGCCCGCAGCACAAACGAACGCACCGGAAAAGCTGCGCAGCGTGGCCGAGCGCATGGTGATGACCACGCGCAGGTCCCCGAGGCGGTCCGCGTAGAGCAGTATCAGCACGGCGGCCCGCCGGCTCACCGGTAGCCTGTCCCAGAGCGGGAAGGCCGGCGGCCGGTAGGACCGCAGCCGGGCTACGGCGGCCTTTGTTCTGATGAGCGCCCTGTTCATTTCTTTTTCTTTTTCTTCACACCCCCCCTTCCTTGCATGTACAGGCACCTCGGCAGAAGCTTTCCCCTAGCCTGGGGATGACTCGACCCCGGAAACCCCGAAAAAAAAAGTCCAGGGAGGAACAGATAAACACACATGCACCGTCTGTGAGACTGGTGCGGGAAAGGCTCAGTTACTGACCAGTGATGCTTCGTTCAGCTGGCCCATGGTAGACGCATCCCAATAATCAGCGGCGGCGTCTTCGTCTGCGCAGGCGCTGGGGGTTGCGGCCGACGAAACCTCGCGGACTGCGTCGATGACGGATGCGATCTCTGCCTCGGTGAAGGGCTTTTCTGCTGGCGGGCCGCTGCCGTGCTCGACCTGCTCAGTCGCGGCGGTCATCTTCACAGCGGAGGGAGGGAGGGAGGGAGGGTGGCTGGTGGAGAGAATACGCGGGACTGTTCTGCGGGCTTCTGGGGGTAGCGTCGGCACGTCACAGGCATTGCCCCCGACGCAGCGGTTCCATGGCGTAATATGTGGGGTATTGCACGCTACATCTCAAGTAGGTGCTCTGGATATTGCGCTGCTTGTCCGAGCCCGACTGGATGTAAAGCTGTAATATCATGCACGCATGTAGTGTCGAAGTAGGCGGGCAGTAGGATATGGAGATAGTATCAGCATATAGCGACTGGAACGTCCATCACCTAGCCATGCACCCACAATGGCCGACGCAAACGTCAACATGCGCTCCTAAACTACGAGTGGCCGGTCATGGGTAGCGAACTGCAGCTTCAAGCATCGAACCGATGTTTAGGGGTCAACTCGAGTGAGTTCATGCATGTTCTTTTTTTTTTATTAAAAATATTCCGCCATCCTAAGCAAAGCCCTCAACGCCTAATGAATCATCCGTCGTCCATCCTGTGTCTGGTTGATCAGAATGCCCCAGTTTGCAAGGACGAAGCCTCCGCTGAGATATAGGACACGATGGAATATATCTCCCTCCCACAAGACACGTCGGGTCTGTGGTATTGCCAAATGCGAAGGAGGCTCGGAATATCGCCCTCGGTTCTCGTGTCGCTGTGGTTCGGTCGGAGGCCGAGTTCGTCAGCACGCTCTGCCGGTCGGTCTAGCGCGAGGATCGCCAAAGAGGGGCAGCGTCGAGTCGAGCCGGAAGGCGCACATACCCCCAAAGCCCAGAAATGCTCCCAAATGCGAGAAGAAGGAAAAGCGCTTAGAAAACGAGGGCGGCGCCCTTGGTCTTCTTGTCACCACTGTGTCACCAAGGTAAGGATTGATTAGCCATTGCCCCTTCAAGCTTCAGAACGACGCCTCCCCGAGGCGTCGACAGTACTCCCATGTCCTGCCATCGGGCGCCCGGCTTCTTTCGCATCGCAAAAACTCACCCAAGCTCGAAGTGCTTGCAGCGCTTGATGGGCAGCTGGCACTTGGTCTTGCAGACGGTGCACTCCAGTCTCAGGACAATCTTCTTGGTCGTCTTCGCCTTCTTGTGGAAGACGGGCTTGGTCTGACCACCGTATCCCGACTGCTTGCGGTCGTAACGGCGCTTTCCCTGGGCAAAGGTCGAGGCCTTGCCGGCCTTGTACTGGGTGACGCGATGGTTGGTGTGCTTGTTGCACTCCTTGCCGGCGCAGTATGTCCGGCGGGTCTTGGGGATATTGACCATCTTGGGCGAGAGGTTTCCTTGACGGCTTCGGGTGTAGTTTGGTGAGGGTCGTCGATGATGTTGAGGCTGACAATTTGAGCAGGCCAAGGGCAAGATCAAAAGGCAGGATATTTTGCGCGTGCCTTCCGAATAGGTTGTGTGCGCCCAGTTTCGGTGGGGCAGCCACAGTCTGGGCTGGGCCTGCCCGCTGTGGCATCGTCACGTGTTTATGCTGACTCATCACTCGACGCCTTCTCCCCGTCCCCCAGATGTTCGTTTGGAGTGTTCGAATGGCAAATGGAACAACATGACACTCGTGTTCAACTACCACTGTTCGGGATGCATGCATAGTTGATTCGGCTCAACGGACGAAAAAAAAGACAACGTATTGAGAAACCTATCCGAACAAAGTCCAAATCCCGAAAACGGCAGAGAATCGTGCATCAATCCTCAACCTCGTGAGCCCTGGATATTCATCCGCTAACCCCATCTGCTCCTCCTCCCCTCATTTGACCCCTGGGAGACATCACACCCCTCTGGGATGACCCGGATATTTCCCTTCATGTTTTCACGTTTGCGGTCTGACTTGGACTGGATGCCTGCCGTCTTCATGGCCCCGGCAAACGCTCCTTGGGTTCTCTGCAGCAGCCCCATGGGCCGTGGGACTGGCGTGTCAGGGCCGCCCACATTCCTCGACCTGTTGGTGAGGACAACATGCTCCCGCGTTTCCGGGTGCCCAATCGCTCCTCCCGTCGACCCTGAAGACCTCAACGAGGCTACTGACACGGCTGCGGACCCTGACGCCGAGGACGCTGTGGACATGCCCATCGGTGCGAGGTTGCCTGACCTGTATTCTGGCGAGGTGATTTCGACAATACCTTGGTCCCGCCGGAATGGCCTGACTTTCCTGGCAAACTTGCTGGCCATTGCACCAAGTGTTGAGCCCTGCCTCCTCTCCTTCTCGTCATCCGAGTCCGTGTCCCACCCGCTTTTGTCCGGTCCTGACATTTTGCTCAGGGGTGGGTATGGTGTCTTGAGCGGATGGTTGCCCGTCCCGAAGGACCTGTCGCTGCCCCTGCTGGTGGAACGTCCGCCGTCCCTGTCGTGACTGGGCGCCCGCATCTCTGGCGGTGGCGGCGGCGGCTTGCGGGTGTCTGAGCGCGTGGCACGGCTCGAAAAGCCTTCTCGGGGCTCCCAAGTTAGAGAAGGGGGCTTCGACCGGCGGCCTAGACTGTCTGTGCTCTGGTCGCGGCTATGGCTTGGCGGCGTGGGGTTCATGGTCGCGCGCGAATGGGTGCCCCTAGGGCTTGGTTCGCGCAGCTTCCTGTCGTGGCGACGGTGGCGTAGTGCGTCCGTCTCGTCGGCTCGCACCATGGACGAGCGCTGCGAAGTCTGTGAACTGGTGGCGCCGACTATCGAGCCGCTGTTCCTACTGTTGGGCTTCTGCAAGGTGAGCGGATCCGGCCAAAGAGCGCTGTCCCGGGCGGACCCGCGTTTCGAACCGGGCTCGTCCAGGTCCGAGACGAGGTCGTCGGCATCGCCATCCGTGGAGCTCATGGGCGAAACGATGTACTCGCCATCTTGCGATGGCCTGGAAGAGACGTTGGACATGGGCCTCACCGGAACGCCGAAGCCCATGAGTTGGTTGATCTTGTGGTTGGAGGAGTGATAGGTTGGACTCGTGAGCCTGGTAACGCCCGGAGATGGCGGTTGCCTTGTCTCTATCTTCGGTACCGCGTCGCCCCCGCGGCCGATTCTAGGGAACCCCCCTAGCATGCTCCTTCTCTTGGTCTTGGTCTGGCTTGGGTTAGGCCCTTCGACATGACCACCGACACCGGCCTTTGGGGCTTTGGGAGCTTTCCTGGGCGGCGTGTCGAAGAAGGATGTCCTTTGGGGAGGTGGTGGAAGGGGCTTGGACCCGTAGTTTCGCGAGCTCCCTGGCGCCGGGGGTAGGCTCTGAGGCCGTTGTGAACTGGCAGACATTGTAGCAGTGGTTGTGTGTGTGTTGTGACTGTTGTCACTGTTTGGTGGTGTAAAGGTTACGGTATTGCGGGTGGTATTGCGGGTGGTATTGCGAGTGAGTAAGTGAGTTGGATTGACTAACAAGAGGCGATAGTCACCAAGACGGACACTAAGAGGTACGGTCATCTGGGGATTTATGGGAGCGGGTTCCCTCGGGAGCACTTCGTCCCGCCACCAGAGACGCTCCCCAAAGGGAACAAAAGGACATGAAGTCCGGTCCAGCATCACGCTCTCAGCTGCCCGCTTTCAGCAGCGCATATGAGTGGCCGCACAAGGCAGGTGTCTTTGTTGGCAACCCGTGAAGGCGACTTCGTCTCGTGTCGGGACAAAGAGAGTACAGCCTGGCAGGTGTTGGCGAGTGACCTCATGCAAGACATTTGGGAAGCCCGGGCATCGGCAGCCCCGTGCCTGTTCTTTCAACCCGGAGGCTCATGCTTCTGTCGCCTACAACGGCGTCGCTGGCTTCTTTGTATGCAGAGCGGAATGGGCATGGAATGGGCATGTTGTCTCTGCCAGGCAGGCAATAACAAAGGATCGTCCTCGAAATGCGCACGCCCAATTTCAAAATGCGGACTCAAGGACAGCCTAAGTGTTTTGACCCAGTGAGTCCATTTTGCTGGGTTTCCTGCCGATCAATACCAGCATTGACTCTCAAATCGGCAGGGGCCTGGCTTGAGTGCGTCGTCCACCAAGCTTGGCAGGTACCAGGGGCCAGGTGCAGTAGAAATCCTGGGGTGGTGCGTTTGCCAGGCCATGACTTAGTCAGCAGGATGGCCTCGTGGGGGGCGGCAGTGCGCGCGAAGCACGCATCAACAGAGCTACGCTTGTCGACGCGACAGTTGGTGTTGTTTCAGCCAAACCCTTTCCCATCTCACCCCAGGACGCCCTCAACTTCGCATCCTCGTCATCGATCGGCTCCCGTCGTATACGCCGCGTTTTCCCCCGTCTTCCTCCCCGAGTCCACGGTCGGCCGAGGCCGCAGCATCAATGGCCGACAACGGCGCGTCTGGCAATGCCGGCGGCGCGTTGCCCCCTCCCTCCATGCCATACTACGAGAAGAGTCGACAGCATCTTAAGGAGCTCTTGGCAAAAAAACGACAGCTAGAAAAGCAGCTTGTGCGTGCCCTTCCCTGCCGTTTGGCCCGTTTGTCCACCTCGACACCGAGGAGCTTGCGTCGAACGTCGAACCTTGGCTGACAACAGCACATGTGCATCATCAGGCTTTGCGCGAGGACATGATTTACCAAAAGGAGACAGAGTATCTGGAAAACACGCCGAGCGGTAACATCATTACGGGTTTCGACAACTACACCAAGGCCACAACGGGCGCGGCCGCGCAGAGACGAAAGACGGGGTTGACCGAGTCCAGCCGTGTGTTTTCGCGGAGCTCCATCAGCTACAACGCCAACAATGCGGTATGTCGCGCGGACAGCCAAGGAAACAAAGAAACCAGGTAGCCACTGAGACTGACAAGCATGCCCACGGCCCTGTACAGCCCGAGGCGCAAACGCCAGGATCGGTGACGTCTGGCGCGGCCTCGGCTGCGCCGACCCCGGTATCGTCCTCCTTTAAGGACAGCGGATCGAACCAGGCGACACCGACGTCTGCGACAGCAGCCAAGGCGGCGGGCGCCACCAAGACCAAGAAGAAGGCCGCAGCCGCCAACGGCGTCGAGGACAGCGAGACAGACGGGAAAGAGGCCAAAAAGGTTAGGACCAGCTTTAGCGCCATCAAGAAGTCATGAGCTGCCGTGCGTCCTATCCGAAGCTCCTCGGCCCGGGGTCCCAACTTTATCGGGTACTGGCAATAGTGCATGCCGGTCCCGGCCGGGAGCAAGAGGAAATGGGACGACGGTTGGCAAGTCCCTTGAAGGTAGGTGTTGTTTACGTGTATCATTATTCTTTGTATTATTGGCGGTTAAGGAACAGCGCGGCGTTTGGGATACCCGTCATGTCTTGGGAGTCGAGGGACAAGGATTCTTTTGATCAACCTTGATTCTAGTGTGGCTGAAAGATGCAAGCCAAGGAATGAAATCATATAATTGCAGACATCACCACTTGGCTACCTAGTGTTTCGCGCATCCGAACCAGCAGTGAACCTACCAAAGCCCGCCGCAGCTGAGGCGCAGGCTCCATGCATTGCTATGGACATGGTGCCGTTTCGCGACGAACTCAACTGCGCGAGGCCGCAACATTGGACGTTGGCGGGTGATATCCACTTGTGTTTGTGAGTACGACCAGTGGAAACTGTTCTTGTGTGTCTCTCCTGTTTCTTTTTCCAGTGTGTTCCTTGTTTCCCGGGCTATTTCCGTTTCCTGTATAACACAGATCCTGTGAAAATGACAGGCTTTTACAGAGAATATCAAATGACAGCCCCGTGCGCCCCCCAAGCTTTCCAGCTGCAGCTGCAGCTTTCCCTTGCTAGTGCGACCGGGCAATCTGCAAGAGTGCGGGGTAGCACTGACCTCATCCCATCTGCCGCCCGGCCTGACGAGCACAGCAACGAGGCCCAATCGCTCTCCTCCTCCGCCCCTTTGGATGGTCCTTGACGTTTAGCCTGGTATATAAACCTCTGGGTGGGCCGCGACGCCTAGATAGAACTACCTATCCACTGGTACCTGGCTGGGTCCCGTATTATCCGAACGTATCCTGTAGGTGGCTCCTCCTATTTCCCAAGGTATCCTGTCGAGCTTCCTATGTCGCTGCCCACTTCCTGTGTCCCCTCCTGTGACCTACGTAGTGTCAGACCTATTTCCCTGGCTGTGAACTTACGCGGGCTCTATTTGAGGACCCAAGCACACACGCAACCGCTCTTGTTGGTCCATCTGGACCCTCTGCTAAGGAGGTGCTGACTAGCCGATACTCTCCTAGCAAACCTCCGGCCATGACCGTCGTCGCCACCAAGTTCACCCCGGAGGTGCTCCTGTCGGCGCCCCGGAGGTCTGCCGGCTCGCCAAACCTGTCGGGCAAGAAGATCCTGTTCACCGTCTCGACCTACTCGTTCGAAGACCACAAAAAGACGTCGCAGATTAAGGTGCTCGACGTCGCGTCGGGCCACTCGACCATCCTCTACGATGACTTGTCGTATAGCGAGCCCGTGTGGGTGGACGAGGAGTACTTCCTGTTTGTCAAGAGCGGCGAAAAGGGCACCTCGAGCCTGATGTTGGGCAGCGTCTCGGCCGACTGCGAGCCGGCCGAGGTCTACCAGGCCAGGGGCAGCGTCTCGAACCTCAAGGTCAAGCCGCTCTCGAACAACAGGGTGCTGCTGGCCTGCTCCGCCCTGGCCACACCCGACGGGCAGATGTACAACCCGGACAAGGACGACGAGAAGGTCTACCACACCGGCCGCGTATACTCGTCGCTCTATGTGCGCCACTGGGACTCGTACGTCGGCAAGAACAAGAACGCCGTCTGGTACGGCACCCTGAAGTGGCAGCCCGCCTCGGGCTCCGGCAGCAGCAAGAGCGGCCGGACCCTGTCGGTCGAGAGCAGCCAGGGGCTCATCAACGCCCTGGCCGGCACGGGACTCGAGTCGCCGGTGCCACCCTTTGGCGGGGCCAGCGACTTTGACGTCTCCCCGCACGGCCTCGCCTTCGTCGCGCGCGACCTGGACGTGAACCCGGCCATCTACACAAAATCGAGCGTGTACTTTGTCCCCCTCGACTTCGCCTCTGGCTCCCCCAAGGCCGCGGGGCAGCAGCAGCCGACGGCCATCCCGACCCCCGGGCTTGCAGGGTACAGCGCCGGCCCGGCCTTCAGCCCGGACGGGCGGTCGCTCGCCTTCACGCGCATGCGGGACATGCAATACGAGAGCGACAAGCCCCGCCTCATGCTGGCGCGCGACGTCGCCGCCGACCCCGGCGCGGGCGCGCGCGAGTTCTTCGCCACCGACGACGGCGAGGGCGCCTGGGACCTGCGGCCCGACGGCGCGCCGCTCTGGAGCGACGACGCGGCCGAGCTCTTCGTCGTGGCCGAGGAGCGCGGCCGCGGCCGCCTGTTCCGCGTCGCGTCCGACCCGGACGCCGTCGCCGCCGCCCGGAGCCTGCCCGAGCCGGTCCAGACGGAGCCCGGCACGGTCGGCGACGTGCAGCGCATGCCCGACGGCAGCGGGCGCCTCTTCGTCAGCTCGAGCTCGCTCATCGACGGGTCCTCCTTCAGCATCGTGGAGCCGTCGGCCCAGACGTCGGAGCTGGTGTCGTCGCTCTCGCGGCAGGGCAAGACCTTTGGCCTGTCGCGGTCCCAGGTCGACGAGATCTGGTTCGCGGGCGCGGGCGACTACCAGGTCCACGCGCTCGTCGTCAAGCCGTCGCACTTTGACGACTCCAAGCGGTACCCGCTCGCGCTGCTCATCCACGGCGGGCCCCAGGGCGCCTGGAACGACAGCTGGAGCACCCGCTGGAACCCGGCCATCTTCGCCGAGCAGGGCTACGTCGTCGTCTGCCCCAACCCGACCGGCTCGACCGGCTACGGCATGGCGCTGCAGAACGGCATCAGGGGCGAGTGGGGCGGCCGCCCCTACAACGACCTCGTCAAGTGCTTCGAGCACATTGAGCAGCACATGCCCTACGTCGACACGGTTCGGTCCGTCGCTCTCGGGGCCTCGTACGGAGGCTATATGATCAGTGAGTGTATTGTATTGGTATCTGAGCGCTTGCATGTGACCTGCTTCACTGGCTGACACCCGCACGTAGACTGGATCCAGGGACACGACCTCGGGCGCAAGTTCAAAGCGCTGGTCTGCCACGATGGCGTCTTCAGCACACAGAGCCAGTGTAAGGCTTTTCCTCGCCTGGCCCTCTAGGCCCTTCACCATCAGGCTGTGGAGAGGCTAGCTGCTAATCTTGGCTTACACACTACAGACTCGTCCGAGGAGCTCTTCTTCCCCATCCACGACTTTGGCGGGAGTCTCTGGGAGAACCGGGAGGGCTACGAGAAATGGGATCCCTCCAAGCACGTTGATCAGTGGTCCACAGCTCAGCTGGTAAGTGCTGATTATCTAAACGGAAACAAGGTGTTTAAGCAGTCCGTGTTCTCACCCAGCTGTCTGTTCAATCCAGATCATCCACAACGAACTCGACTACCGCCTCACCATTTCCGAAGGCTTGGCAGTCTTCAACGTTCTGCAGCACAGGGGTATTGCGAGCCGCTTCCTCACATTCCCCGACGAGAACCATGTAAGTCTTCAGATACATCACTGCTACTTCTCCGCCCGAGTCCCAAGCCCATGCTCATGCTCATGCTGACAACGTCACTGCTACCTGTAGTGGACTCTCAAGCCCGAGAACTCGCTCCTTTGGCACCAGGAGGTCATTGGCTGGATCAACAAATACGTCGGCATGGACCAGTCAGAACTGGCACAAAAGACCCAGAATGTCAGGATATGAGAAATCCCACACAAGCCCCGCTTGGTTTCTGTTCAATGAGTGTAACAACGGACGCGGGAGAGTAGATGGAGGGAATCGCACGAGATTATAGCAGAGGCCATCAAGGGCGATCTGGAATCAGCACATCTCTGACCTCCTGAAATGACCACATACAAAAACGCACGTCGTGCCACTTTGCGGATATGCCACACCACAATGATTCCCCGGCTTGCCTCCGCTGAAACACACCTCTCTGGGAGTCGAGGAACCCGGCCTCCAAGCGCGTTCTGTCGTGTTCCGCAAGTAGCTCGTGGACGCTCCGGAGAAACTCTCTAACGAAGCGGTGCTCCGGGCTCGGCTTCTGGTGGCGGTACCGCCTGTCGAAGGTGAAGAATAGCTCCGGGATGGTGCAGTGACCGAGATCTCTGCTTGGGAGGCCGCCTCTGCCTTTGTCGCCAGTGCTGAGTGATTTGAGCTCTTTGGTCAGGGCACTGCGGTTTCTGGGCCGCCGAGCCCGGGCAGGTTTTGTTTTAGGACGGTCATCTGAGCATGCGCCGCTCGTCTCGGGTGTCGGAAGTTCTTGCGCCGTCTGAGACGGCGGCGGCGACGCAGGTGCAACATCGGCGCATGTGGACTCTGGGCTCTGATATATCGCTGGAGACGACGAGCGGACGCTTTCAGGTCGACTTGGGGCGCCCCGCGGTTCCTGCTGCCGCTGCTGATCCTGTGGCTGAAGCAGCCGCGCGACGTGTTCGTCCAACCGCCTTTGCAAGCTGGCGATGCGCTCTTCGGTGGCGGCACATCGTCTCCCGGCGCGACCGCAGTCCCTCCTCAGCTGCTCGACGTTGCCGACATGACGGCGGTCATTGTCGACCACCACTGCCTCGAGGCTGGCGCAGTCTCTCCTCAGCAACTCCATGTCATGGCTGTAACGGCGACTGTTCTCGGCTATCACGACCTCGAGACCGGCGCAGTCTCTGCTCAGCAGCACGACGCTGTCATGGTTGCGGTCGGCCGTCTCGGCCATCGCCGCCTCGAGGCTCGCGAGCCTCTGCTCCTGCCCCTGGGTGTCCTCCCACCTGCGGTCGGCGTCCGGCCCTCCCCGCCGCAGGGCGCCGCCGAGCTCCCGGTCCGTGTACTGCCTGCAGTCTCGAGCCGACGCCTCCACGCGGGCCTGGAGTGCCTCGAGTCTGACGCTCAGGTCCGCCAGCTGAGCCGCGGTCGCTTTTTCCTCGCCCGAGCCACCACCGCCGGGATGCTGCTGTTGCTGCACCGTCATCCCGGGCCCATCTCCCGCATCCCGATCACTGCCGGCCCGCCGCCGCCGCGCCTCGGCCTCCGCCTCGGCCTCGAGCCTCGCCAGGCGCGTCTCCAAGGCCTCCTCCCTCGCCACCACGCGCGCCTCCAGGACTTCCTCGCGTTCCCTAAAGCCCGCGGCGAGGTCCGCCTTTAGCGTCCGCAGCGCCTGCGCCGCGAGGTCCTCGGCGCGCCGACGCGCCGCCTCCTCGCTCGCGCCGACGTCGGCCGCGCGCCGCGCGCGCTCGCGCTCCATGGCCTCCTCGAAGTCGCGCCGCGCCGCCTGGATGCCCGTGAAGACGAGCGCGCACGTGGCGTAGCCGACGCTGCTCGCGGCCGCCGTGGCCGCCCCGGCGGATGATGGTGATGATGGTGGCGGCGCCGGTGCGGGCGAGGGCGGATGGGGCCTCATGGTCTGGTCGTTGCTATGAGGCGCTCCGGGGGAGGAGGAGGCGAGATAGGAGGACATGCTGCGCCAGATATGCGCGGCCATGATGTAAGTAGAATAGAGTCGACTGGGTAATGCGCTAGGTGTTGACAGTGGTTGACTGTGGTTTGTTCCTGATGGCGTGGTTTTTGAGGGTGTAAATGGGATGAAGATGGAAGTCGAGACCAAAGAGTATCAAGTTTGGATTTACCCATCGAATGCGCATTTAAAAATCTTAATTCCTGGGCCAGACAGCCTGGGTTGGCAACCCGGGAAGGCGCGGGCCCATCCACGGTCCTTCCGTCTCGAGCACGGCAAGATCACCATCTTGATCCCTTGGGCCATGGTGGGCGCGGACTCTACGGGACCCGCCCAGCCGGCTGCGGCCAACAGCAATCAATACATCTTGATGGACAGCATGTTTGCAGAGGGGGGCTCCGACTCGACCATCCAGAAACAAGTCTACAGCCATCTTTTCCAGATGGGCAAACCGACATGGGGCCACATTGTCACATTCGAGGGAATGAAGTTTGATAACCTTGGGCACATCATCCTACATTTCACCATCACACCGGGCGAGGCTATCAGGATGATGGAGGAAGCCCTCGTCCCAGTCCCCGACCCTGGGTGGTTATCTAGGTGGTTAAGCATCTTTGAGTACCCCGAGAGCATCTTTTTAGACAATGGCAACCATTTCATCAATGAGGGTCTTAAAACCTTTTCGGCCCCATCCATCGTCCGCCGGACGACTTGTGTCAAAATGACCATCATCAGCGGCAGGTGTGGCCTGGTCAGTCGACTTTGGACATCACTTCGAGGTACCAACACCACCAAACAAAGCCTGCGCACAGCACACTAAACAACAAGTAGGCACCGCTGAGTCGATCAACTAAACGACGCGGCTAGATACATGTATGCGCGCATGCGAAAACAACCATCTCCAATGTGAAGGGTATCTCTGAGCGCTCGCCTGAAAGCCAACCAAGCCGACGAACTCCGCGTAGAGAAAACGCACGTGTGATAGACAGCAAGACCCTGCCCTTCTCAGCTAGGTACCTACCTAGGTACTTTGCTGTTACGAGCAAACGCTATCAGGTTGTCAAAAGACGGGGGACGCAGGAGTATGATGTGAGAAAGGGTCAATAAAAGGAGATGCATCCCGTGAGGTGAAATCATGTCTTGCTCGCCGCAGATAAGCATGAATGGAAAAGCAAAGCCCCGTTAAAAAAAAAAAAAAAAAAAAACGACCCCGAGGGCGGGCGATGGCCAACGGGGAAAGAGCAATAGGCCGCGTGGGGCGTTCTGTACTGTGTAGAGATGAAACCCAGAAGATGCGGGTGGTGATTCTAGTGTTGAGCCTGTCGATGATGTGAGCGGGGGCGCCGCATGGTTCGTTTGGATAACGCTGGCGTCGACCTCAAGGTGCATACGGCTTGACGGAGCACTGCCCGTTCGGGTCCGAGTCTTCGATGGTGTATGTGAGAATGGTGTGGTCCATAAAGTGCAGCATGAGGCGCCAGCGGTAGACGGGGTCGGCCACCAGGGGCTGGTTGTGACGGCGACGCTCCCCACGGCCCGGGGGGAACAGGTTGACGCCGCGAGCGCCGGGCTGGGGCACCCGCGACACGGCCATTCCCACCATCCAGACGTGAGGCCGCGCCTTGCGTTGCTCCTCCCTGGTGCGCGGCAGCACCCACTCGACCCGGAATCCGTGCCGGATCTGCCTCCAGCCCCTGCGCGCCTTGGTCAGCCGCAGGAGCGCCACGCGGCCGCACGTAGACCCGACCACGACGAGGTTCAGCTCCGGGATGCAGTGTTTCATGCACACGCGGTTAGAGTAATCCATGTCCCAGGGCTCCTTGACCTTGTCCGGATTGTGTGGCGGCAACAGGCGCCGGCAAATGATACTAGCCCTGCTGGGGTCAAGACAGAACAGCTCGACGTCCTCCCCTGTTGCACGTAGCACTGCATTCCTGCAGGCCATCTCTGGCGGCAGCGGCCTGAACTTGAAGTCAAAGGCCCTGTCGTACACGTTCTTTCGGAAGCTGTTGTTGTACAAAATTTCGTGGAGGAACTTGACAGGGGCCATATTTTTGTGCCGGCAGACATGGCCGATGCTGGGCACGATCGTCATGGGCTCGCGAGGTCCCGCGCCGCTGACCGCGCAGAATGCTGCCCTTGCCGTTCTGGGCCGGCGCTCGTCCTTTTCGGCACGGCGGAGCAGCTCCCAACGCCGCAGCGTCTCGTCAGACTCCCAACGCCGCAGCGCCTCGTCAGACTCGGGGTATCCCTGTAACCCCAGGTCGGCCTCGTTAGGGACCGCCTGCCGAAAGATGCCGTCGAGGTCTAGTAAGGTAGTGGGCGGAAGGCGGAACCGGTGTCTGGCGATTGGAAGCCTCTCCACTTCAACCTCGGCCGTAGGATTCCCAGGAATAAGCTTCGCAGTACGGCTGATGTCCAGCAGCACTCCAGAAGGCACGCTCCAGGTTGCGTCGATACTACTGACCGGCGCCCCCAGAAATTCTTCGGCTGTCTGTGCCTGTCTGAAGAATTTGTCCGGGAGCACCATCACTCCCCAGTTGCAGCAACCATCCGTACTCCACATCGGGATTCTCGAGATACTGGCACCCAGGCTCCAGATCGAGTGCATCCAGCAGGAGCCGTTGATATCGACTACCACGACCTTTTCGGCCGAGCCGTGCTCGTCATCGAGGAAGTCAATGCCGGGAACATTGGCCGCAACCTTGCTGGGCTGCGTCAAGATGATCCTCCAATCCCGAGTCCGACCCCGCAGGTGCCTCTCGAGGGCTTCGGCCGTCAGGCCCGACGAGGCCAGCAGCGGCGATGAGCCCTCCGTCCGGGCCACGTCGTGATTCGAAAACTGGGCGGTTGGGGCCGCCAGGTCACCAGACGAACCGCCGGGCCCCTTGAGAGCGAAGGCAAATACCGTGATCTCCATCAGGTTGCAACTCACCGCCAGCAGACGCGACTTCTTGTGCAAAGCAAGGCCCCAGGCCGACGACCCCACAGCATCGTGGAAGAATGCTCGCGGATGTCGCGGCGTCGAGGTCCACTCCTTGTTCTTCCGCGCCAAGTGCTCGATGGCGGCCGCTATCGTGTGTGTGTAGTATCCGACGACGTCCCCGTCGTCGTAGGCCGCCACAATGACCTCCAGGTCGCCCAGGTCGCCGACTATTATGTTGTTGATCTCATGGCCTGAAGCCTGGTCGATGTGACCCGGGCAGAGGGCGGCGATCGCGGACGGCGCGGGCTTGAGCACGAGGAGCGGGCCATCTTTGATGACCTGGGGCGCGTTTTGGGGTTCGTAGACGTGTATCCTGCCCTTGTATGCGACAAAGTAGAGCTTTTTCGCCGTGGAAGATGGACATCAATATAGGTCCTTCGCCGGACGTGGGCACCCGAGTGGCACGCCCACCACAAACAAGATGACAGTCCCACCCAGCATCAGAAAGGCTGCTAGCGGAATAACACAGGGATGGCAATAAGAATAACATGGGGATAATAATAGGAACAGGAAAAGCCCATAGCATTAATGATTTTGACATCCGGCATTTATAAAACTGCCGCCTTTTTTGTGGTGGGCGTGGTGGGGTGTGAGAATATGGGAGAATAAGGGAATGATAAAAGGGCAAGGAAAGGGTGGAAGTATGGGGCAAGGAGAGAGGCATTGGGAAATGATAGATCAATACCGCAAGAAAACGTGCAACAAGGAAACAGGCTCACATTGTATTGCTGGGAGAGGACGGTCAGGTTCATCCGCTGGCGACCAAACTGGAGCATCTCGTGGGGCGGGGCCGAGGCGGACGTGGTGCTGTCGGCGACGCTGGCGCCGTCGTCGGACCCGTCCTCCAACGCTCCGTTGGCGCCGCCGCCGCCGCCGCCGACGCCCCCGTCAGCGTTCCCGCCGGCCAGGACGCTCTCGTCCTCGCTGTCCGTGTCCTCAAAGTCGTCGTTGTCGGCGGCGATCAGGGGGTTCTGGTGCATCTCGAAGATCCTCGCGCGTATCTCGCGCTCGACGCCCGGGCGGCCGAAGCGGTTGGCCGGGGTCTGGACGCCCACGACGGGGCCGACGAGCACGACATCGGCTCTGCCCCCACCGCCGCCGCCGCCGCGGGGGGAGGAGGAGGAGTCCCTGGGCGCGGAGGCTGGCTCCTCCATTTTGGTCGATGGCAGAACGCGGGCCTGCGGTGGGTGTGTGGCGCAATGGAAAGGCTCATTGCCACGCCTCCCCCTGTTCGTGACGATAGGGGTGTGGGTGTCCGAGACCGCAGGTGGCGAATGGCGAATGGAAAGCCGGGCAGCCAGTTTGGGCGGTTGTAGGGGAAGTAAGTTAGTGACGTACGCCGACCACAAGATGGAGCAGGTGCAAGTACATGGACTCCACGCCGGTTTGCGGGGCAGTGGTGGATTCCAGCGGCTCGTTGGTTGCAGTTGGGGCTCGGCCGACTGGGGGCAAGCGTGACCTTGGCAGTTGCCTCGTCGTCCATCTACCCTTTCACGTCCACCACAAAAAAGATGGCAGTCTTACAGGCCCCAAAGATTAAGTAAAGTTGTTAGTGCCATGAAATTTCGTATGTGAGCTTTCCTATTCTTATTTTTATTACCATTCCTATTCCTGAATGGAATCGTTCAGCGCATTGATCACTCTAATCCCCGGGACTGGTACCAACAGCCTTCTATTGTTTAGGGTACCTATCTGCCTCAGGTGGGACTTGCCATCTTTTTTGTGGTGGCCGTGCCTTTTATCTAACCAATGATTCCATCTTCCTCGCTCTTTCCCGTTTGCTTCGTCACACTTGCGTTGTCTGTATTCCACCGGATTGAGATTTTGAATTTCACCGTGTCACCATTGGTGGGCACAGACAGTTTGTATTCGGCAAGTGAGATGGCAGGCAGGCTAAGCGAAGGGTGCGCAGTGGTGTGCAGTACCTCTCGTCCTTGTTTGCTCGGGAACAAAAAGCCAGGCCAAATATGGTTTCCATATTTTCAACTAAACTCTAGAGCCAAGACAAATGAATCGTGTATCCAAAGACAGAGCGTAGGGTATAACCGCAGCAAGCGTGTATGTACGTCGAGAACCATGCAAAACGCGAAAGGAAAGTGAGGCAGGAAAACCATGAATCGAACTTGAACCTCCTTCATCACATAATCATTCTCGTGTATATTCGCCGACCCTCCCCCGCCTTCTATCATTTTACGCCCTCATCAGCTCGACCATATCCTTCATCCTATAGTCCAGCACCGGGGTGACCCAGTCGTCCTCGACCAGGCAGTACGTCTCCTTGCCGTTGTCCTTTGGCTTGCGCGGGTTGATGGCCCAGTAACCAAAGTCGGCGTCGATGGCCTTGAGGTACCGCATCAGGTTCTGCCAGTAGTTGACGTCGCCGGCACCGGGAAGGTGCGGGGCGCCAAACTCTCCGACCCAGACGGGGGCGATGTCGCGCTCGACCAGGTAGGCCCAGTTCTCGCGCATGGTGCGGACAAAGGACGCGTAGGGCCGCTGGGCGAAGCGGCCCTCGGTCGAGCCCCAGCCGGACCAGGCGTAGACGTGGGCCGAGTAGACGACTCGGTCCTCGACGTCGAGCCGCACGGGCCGGCGCTCGACGCCGCGCAGGTCGTTGCCCGACTCGGTGCCGCCGACGACGATGAGCCAGTCGCGGTTCATGCGCAGCAGGCGGTTGCCGCACCGCTCCGCCGCCGACGCCCAGCGGTCCCACGGCATGGTGCCCCAGAGCCCGCGCACCTCGTTGCGGAGGTCGGCGCCCACGACGCGCGGGTTGCCGACGAAGCGCTCCATCACAATCTCCCAGTGGCGGATCCAGTCCTCCTCGGTCTGCGAGACGCGGCAGATGGGGCCGAGGTGGTCGTTTGCCCAGCCGGCGTCGCACGGGTCGGCGCCGCAGCACCACGTGGCCGTGGTGATGTGGTTGTTTACGATGACGGCGACGCCCGCGTCCGTCAGCGCCGTCACGACGGCCTCGAACACGTCGAGCGCCCGCATCCCGATCAGGTCCGGGTTCGCCGCCAGCAGGTGCGGCAGCACGGCCGGGTTCGCCATCACCATCTCGTCCGAGTAAGGGAGCCGCACCGAGTTGAAGCCGAGGGCGCGGACGGTGCGGGCGATGACGTCGCGGTGCTGCACGTCGAGCCCGCCGGGGATGAAGAGCTCGTCGCTGCCGCCGTACCAGTTGACCGACGAGAGCTTGAAGCGCCGGTCCTCGGCGTCGACAACGTCGCGGCCCCGCGCCCGCAGCGGCAGCGTGTACGTGTCGACAAAGGTGCGAGCGACGGGCGCCGGCAGCGGCCGCTGCGCGAAGAGCTGCGACGCCGCGTCGGGCTGCCACGGCACCCCCAGCGCCGCCTCGGCCTTCCACATGTAGTGGAAGAAGCCGCCGAGCAGCAGCACGCTGATGAGCAGGAACATTTTCTGCGGCGCTCAGCGGCCTGTGTGTGTCCGTCCGTCTCTATCTCTACCTCTATCTCTTTTTTGTCTCTCTTTTCCTGTCTATCTCTCCGTCTCGCTGGCTTCGGTCTCGGGCCGAGTGCGGGTTCGAGAGGAGGGGCGCGATCGGACCAGCGATATCGGCATTCGAGAGAGTCCGTGAGTCCGTGAGTCCGTCGGTCAGGTCGGCGCCATATCCAGCACCTGAACGCGGCGAGGTCGGCCAGCAGCAAGAAGCGAGACAGGCAGCGGCGGGTCGGGTCTTCTGGGGACAGACTAGACTGAAGACGATGGATAGTTCCAGCGATTGCAACGATTCAGGAAGACGGCGCCAGCACCAGAAGGGAAGCCGAAGCGCGATTCCCGAGCTTGCCGGGGGGTTGGAAGCTGGCTGCTCGGACAGGGACGGGGAGGCACAAAGGCTGTACGGCACTAGGATGACTCGTGCAGTGGGTTGCTGGTCGGGTTCTCTCTTGGATCTGCTTTTTGCTTACGTCGGCGGTGCTTCGGGCATTTCGTTTTGCAGAGAAATAGGAATGGAGAGAGGTTGGGGTCTGGTAGCACAATTGATCAGCACACCAGCACCAGTCATTCACCGCATTAGAACGCACTCATGCCTGCTCGCGGCCCTGCGGTTCTTGGGCTGATGCGGACGCCACCGCGAACCCTCAACGTCACCCTTGGGGGTTCACAGCAGCAAACATTTCATCTAGCAGCAAGCACATGGGGCATGGGAAGGCGGCACGGCGGCTAGCCTCCAGTGAAACCAGGTGGCCGCATACTGGGCACCCACGTCGCAAAGCCGTGCCTGGGGGGTGGCTGGTTTCTTTCCTTCCATGTGGTGTTCCACGCACAGACCCCCCGCACTGCCGGCTGTTCCCTCCCCTCCATGCTACCTCCCACCCTGCAATTGCACGACGTAGTGAGGGTGGGTGCGGTGGCAGGGAGCGGTTACGAACATCTTCTTTCGCACTAGGTAGTTCTTCTTGAGGCACGTCGAAATGAACGGCAAGGCATACGAGATTGGGTACTTTGAAGCCAGTAGATACTTCCTAGCTGGAGTTGTGCATTCATGCCACCATCGTGCAAGCATCCCCTCCCAATTAGGCACGTGGTCATGAAAACAAAAGAGAACATTGTGGGGGATATATCGTGTTAGAACATTGACCTTCCCATTTGGTCAACCGCATGTGCCTGCGGAGTTTTCCTCCTTGCGCCGAACGCTTCACCAATGATATAAAAGACAATAACAAGAGTTGATAACTCTGATCGTTGCAAGCCCCAAGGCGTCGTGCCATGGGCTTCATCCCGAGTCGACGCCGGTGCTGGCCCGATTCGTCCTGTGACCTCCTGTTATCCTGGCTCCTGAAGGCGGGCCCATCCGCGGAGATGCTATCCGCTTGTAGAGAGAGCACGCGAGTGCTTCTGGTATCTCTTGTTTCTGGCTCCTTTTTCTAGGAGACAGCCTTTTGTGTGTGTTTTTTTTGTTTGTTTTTTTTCTTTGCTTCCTCCCAACCCAATTGTGTTGGACAAAAGCTTCATAACCATTCATATCCTGTTCATACCCAGTGGGTTCATGTTCATATCGTTGGCATCACTATGCCCGGTCTGGGACCCAGCATATATCTCGCTGTTGTCCCACCTGACCACCTGCGGTGGCGCTTTTGGCTTCGAAAAGGAGCGCGTCGGCGCGTGGTATCTCGCCGTCTGCCCAAAGTAGTCGGGCGTGCGTCGCCCGCTGGGCGGGGGGCTCGCCGGAGACACGGCGGCCGGGTAGGGCGAGATCGGAGTGGTGCCTGCCGAGGGTGTTACTGCGTCGTCCACCATTGTCTTGCCCGAGTCCCGGGATAGCATCTCGTACGAACGTCTTTGGTTTTTGTAATCGTCGGCCACGCGGGCATCGACCGAGACGAACTCGGCCTTCTTGCTGGAGCGGAACGTGGATGAGATGAGGTCCTTCCAGCCGGTAACCATCGACCATCTCCCTAGCAGCATCATGAGCCAGATCCCGTTCATCTAAGTCTTGTGCGTCAGCATCTTATCCTTCATGTGGGCGCATGGGATGGCGGGACGTGGTCTAAACTTACAGCCAGGAGAAGAAGCACGGCGCCAACAGTAACCTCGTTTATCACGAGCTCGCTGGCTTTGTCGAGGCACTTGTTCTTGTCGCCACGAGCGATCGCAAGGCATGTGACCCACGGGGTAACCAGGCTCCTGTCCGTCTTGATTCTTTCCAGGGTGTTGTCTTGGAAGACAAAGACGATGGAGAAGAAAATGACATCAGCGATGATGATGAGCACGATGGTGATGCCCCTCCACTGGAGCTGAATGACTCGTCGGACTCGTCGGTAGGCCTGCCTGGGCGTCATGGTCCGGATGCTCCGGCTGGACGATGGCAGGTTGGAGCCCTCGGTCGAGGCGCTGCTGTCGCTGAGCGAGGCGAGGTACACCTTGATGCAGTAGATAAAGGTGGCCAGCTGGATGAAGATGGTGAAGGCGGAGAAGATGAGCAGCGGAATCCACAGCACGGCCAGGCTGTTCTCGTGGTTGACGTGACACGTCTGTCCGAACCGGAACGAAACTCCGCTCATGGTGAGAGCCAGGATGATGCCGACGAGGGGAATGCCCCAGCCGGCCGCCTGGGCAAACCACATAAAGGTCTTGCCGACCACGACCTGCCAGCAGATCTGGAGATGGAGCGAGAGCGCGCGAAGGAAAATCCACATGACTCCAGCCCACCCTCCAAGAATAAGCATGGATCCAGACGCTGCACATGCCTGATTCGACTTCATGTCGTTGGGCGTGATCCTGTCGGCACACTGGTCCGGCTGCGCTGCGAGGGGAACCACAAAACCCATCTAAACGGAAAGGTCACATGTGTCAGTTGAGCTTCCCAAGTGATGAGGCAATCTTCGTCCCCACACCATATGCCTGCCCGGTCCTCCTTACAACACTTACGTTCATGAAGGTGACTGCTATGGTCAAGCAAATGCTCAGGTAATGCCTGTGCGTCTTCTCGACTGGGAGGCAGAACCATGATAGCAGCAGGAATGCGCACAGAACGGTTGATATGACTGCGACGACCTCGGCAGACACCCCAATGGTGTCAAAGGTGTCAGGGTAGGCGAAGTCCGTCATGGGACAGGGGAGGCAGCATGTCAGGTTGCCGACATCTGCGCATAGCCTTCCCTTGACAACTATTTTATTTGGTTGTCAGCGGGTTTCTGAAGACTGGCTTGTGCAGTAAAGACGACTACCACATACATCCATTTGAGGTGCTAAAATCCATTGCGTCAAGAAAGGGTTTTGGGCAAAGGCTCAGTGCGGGTAGCGACATGGCTGCGATTTCTTGGGTTCGCCAGCGCAGCGCGAGATAGCTGGCGTATCGTTTATTGTTGGTTCCGCTCAGTGCAGGATCGGGTGGCCACAGGCTCGAGTGTTATATGCCAGCCGGGTCCGGGTGTGGTGGCGGGCGAGGGTGAGGTCAGACAGGTGCCACCGGCCTACACTTTGGTTGTTGGGTGTACAAGTCGGGGAGGACGGGGTCGGACCGCGTCGAGGGGCTGACGTCGGGTGTCAGCGACGCATCGAGTCTTGTATGGACGTTCGGGTCCCACAGAAGATATCGGAGAACAATGGTCGGGGAGACTGGAACAGTGGCGCAGGGCAGCGTTGAGGAAAGCAGGAGATATTCTAGCTATTAAGTCGCGCAGGTATCCGCCAGCTAGATGGGTATCACGGGCACGTTCCTGTGCGGGGGTATATCGAAACGGAAAATAGAGTGGCTCGTCCAGGCAACAAGGACGGCAGCGAGGGAGGAAAACAGTCGAGCGGAACGATCGAGGACGAAACCCCGGCTTCGCGAGGGGAGGCGGGAGGAGCACGGGATATGTACTATACTACACCAGCGAGTCGAAAAGCCGGGAGTCTGGGTTTGGGCGGGCTGCCTGCCCCATCCAGCCTCTGGCATCCATAAGGCACGGGGGTAAGGGGGGTGAGGGGTGGATGAGCAAGAAAGCGCCAGGGGTGTGCTGTCGCTCGACTTCTCGTCCAGGGCCCACGCCTCTTGGGCGGGGCGCAACACACCCTTGGATGGATGGACCCAAGAAGAGAGGATCGGGCCAGGTACAGGCGCAGGCGCGTTGGATGCCGGGGAGGACCCAACTCGAATGGGGCCTGGAGTCCTATTCTGGCCGCCCGCCTTTCGCTCATCCAGCCCATTGGGGAGGCGTACCGTGTAGATAGGTACTACCTAACACGTAGCAAGCGCACAGCTGGACCAGGGCCGTGGGACACTGCCATCGCACGTGTCTAGGTGTTGGCTTTGCGTCCTCTGCCTGTAGTTGGTAGCGGTGATGGGGTTTTGGCGGCCGCTGACACCAGCCGAGGTCGTGCTACCTTGGTTTTCTTTTTCTTTTTCTTTTTCTTTTTCTTTTTCTTTTTTTCCCTTGCTGCTTGGCTAAGCCTCACGCAACCGTTGGTTGGCTCCCCGTCCGCGCCAGGCCAAACTAGGGGGTACCTACCGCACAGTACGTACCTGAGGTAGAATTGTCGCTGCACGCATCACGCATCACACGAGAAGCTCGAGAGGCATCCGGGGCTGATTGGCTGAGGTCTGGCTCTAGTTGGTGGGGCGGACTCCGTGATCCACTCGACCCGGTGGTCGCGAGGGGCTGGAGCAAAAAAAAAAAAGTCAACCGGGGGTAGGTGGGGCCAGTCAGGTTGCCAGGGACAGGGATCGCACATGGAGGGCCAGATTAGCGGCAGGGGTGCGGCACCACGCAGCACACGACGGGTCGGACGAGGAAAGGCTACAGTAACGGCAGAAGTGGGAAAATTTGGCATCTGCCCTCTGGCCACGGACTAGCCAATTCGTTGGCTCGCACTGGGAGCTGCTGGGGACGCGGTCCGGGCTGGCCAGGCCTTGGTCCGGGTCAGCCATTTGGGAAAGGCCCCAATGGGGAGAAAGATGACCCTAGCGGCGGCTATCCTGGGCGCCATGGGGTGCCGGTGCTAGATTGCCTGCTCTCCACGCGGGGCACAGTTTCACGCTCTCTGTTCTTTGTATGGCTGGTGTGGGCGTTTGGGAAGGCAGCCTCCAGTGCCTCCGTTCGGCTGTTGTTGCTTCGACTGTTTTGTCCATCCTCGGTCAGCGGTCTGGCTGGCCAGGTCCTAGGAGGGTTGTGATGGGCTAGCCCCTCGTCTCTTGGCATCAGAGCCGCCCGAGCTGGCAGTCCCAAACACTGGCGGGAGACCATGACGGCCTCGATATTATCACGGCTCCGTATATACCTCCCGCGTGGCCCGATTGGTGCTGTAGACGCAACGCCGACGTGAACGGAAAATCCCCCCTTCCGGACTCACGCATAATGGAATCCATAATACATGGAACAAAGGAGATGGAGGGAATGTCCCTGGACTTCGCGGTCCCGTGGGAGTGGTGCGAACCGGTCGGTCAGCGTTGTCCGCCAGTAGCTGGCGCCGGTCGCAAGCAAACGATAGTGGTTCGTTTCCCGGAAACGCAACGGGCCTAGCACGCGCCAGGTTGGTCCTAGTAGTGGCTTCAATGGGCAAGATCACCGGGTACCGGGAACCATGGCGGTGTGTCTGAATCGCCAGCATTTTCGTGCGACGAGCTAGCCCGATACCTGAGGCGAAAAAAATCGCCATTTTCGAGGTAGCGCCAAGAGCCCCCCCATGTTCAGCCCTTACCAAATAAGGCCTAGCCTACATTTCTTTTTTAACATCAATCGCAACACCAATTCGAATCCGCCCACACGCGTTTTAATCGATTGGCTAGTGCATACCCCTGGCCCCTGCCCTCGCTTCACGAGTGACCTCCTCACTGCAGATTATTTAACCCTCACACCTCCGTAGGTCTTGTGGCTTATCCCACTTCCGCCTGGAACGCCTGCGATGTCGTCACTCGACGACATGGTAGTCATTGATCCTGGCCGAGGCGGCGGCTTGCGGGGGCACCGCCCCCTGCTGTGCTGGCACGTCGCCCAAATAAAAAGCGATACACCAAAAAAAGTAACCTTATCGAGCGCATTCATTCCTTTTCAATTATTCCATCTCCGAAAAAGAAAGAATAAAAACGTAACTTAAATAATGTAAAATAAAATGCTGCCATTGTTTGTATTATTTATTTATTATTTAGCTGTGTATTGG